TCGAGACGAGGCTTATAAAGCTGCAAAAAAGAAAACTGGTGTATATGATGATAAGTAAGATTTTCATCATTGTTGTCAATGTACTATTGAAATAATGGATATATAAACTAAAATGAACTAATGAAAAAGAAAGAATTTATGAAGGTTGTTCGTTCAATTTCAGGTTCAATGATGATCCATCCTTGGAGAAGAAAATGCTTCCACAGTATGATGATCCAGCTGCAGAAGAGGTTTGCTGCTTTTGTTACATTCTAGAAGGTAGTTTTTGTGAATGTATGTACTCATTGGATTCTTTTATTCAGGGTGTAACTTTGGATGAAAGGGGACGATTCTCAGGTGAAGCTGAGAAGAAACTTGAAGAGGTTAATTATGCTTTTCATTTATGACATATTGTGATGGTCATTTTACTTGTGTTTTGCTTCTTTCATTTTTCCTGAAGGGTATATTTTTTTACCATTTACCAGCTGCGAAGAAGGTTAACAGGTGTTTCCACAAATACCTTTGAAGATCTTACTTCATCTGGAAAGGTATCATCAGATTACTATACTCATGAAGAAATGCTAAAATTTAAGAAGCCCAAGAAGAAAAAATCCTTGCGGAAGAAAGATAAGCTGGACATCAAAGCCCTTGAAGCTGAAGCTGTCTCTTCAGGATTGGGTGCTGGTGACCATGGTTCTCGGAATGATGTGAGGAGGCAAGCCATCAAAGATGAGCAAGAAAGATTGGAGGCTAAGATGAGAAGTAATGCTTACCAGTCTGCTTATGCTAAAGCAGACGAAGCTTCCAAATTGCTGCGTCTGGAACAAACTCTCGATGTTAAATCAGAGGAAAATGAAACTCCAGCTTTTATAGATGATGATGAGGATCTTCGGAAATCCTTAGAGAAAGCAAGAAGATTAGCCCTTAAAAAGAAGGAGGAAGAAGGGGCATCTGGTCCACAAGCTATTGCATTGCTTGCCACCTCAAATCATAATAATGAGACTGATGGTCAAAACACCACGTCTGGAGAATCACGAGAAAACAAGGTGGTCTTCACAGAGATGGAAGAATTTGTCTGGGGTCTCCACATTGATGAAGGTAATTCTTATTTATTTTATGGTTGTCTAATATAAAGAATTTCATGCTACTTGATGAATATGACTGCCTTGATTTAATGTAAAAGTGGATCAGTTTTCTTTTCATTTCCATTTGGATGGAATTCTGTTGATTGTTTTGGCAATCTTCTATTTAATCTTTATTCCGTTCCTCTTCTTGTTGACATCTATGTTAGTGGCATTAAATCTGAATATTCGTGCGCAATCTTTCTTTTCTATGTTGAATACAGTAGGTGTTCTGACATAAATATTTTGTAAGCATGTTGGAAGTTTTAGCCCATAGAGTATATAATGGGGAAGCAGATAATGGATATAACTCTGCTATGTTACTTTCTACTTTTCAGAAGCACGTAAACCAGAAAGTGAAGATGTTTTCATGCATGATGATGAAGAGGCTATTGTTCCTAATGAAGAAAAGACTAATGAGGCTGGTGGATGGACCGAAGTTCAAGAAACTAATGAAGATGAACAACCCAATGCAGAAGACAAAGAGGAAATAGTTCCTGATGAAACAATCCATGAAGTTGCCGTAGGGAAAGGATTGTCAGGTGCTTTGAAACTGCTTAAAGAACGAGGAACACTTAAGGAAAGCATTGAATGGGGTGGCAGAAACATGGACAAGAAGAAAAGTAAATTGATTGGAATCGTAGATGACGACGAGAAGGAAACTCAGAAGAAAAGGGAGATTCGCATTGAAAGGACAGATGAATTTGGGAGAATTGTATGTTTTCCACATTCTTTGCCTTAGTTATTTTTATGGCACCAAGATCATATTATAGTGTTTATGATCACTGCATTGATATGTTTGCATTGGAAAATAATTATTGAGACATTAACTTTAAGATCAGTCACTTAATAATATTTTATACACAATGAATTTCATTAATTCAACATTTTGTTTGAGAGCTCTCAATAATTTAGTCGAGTATACCATACTTCATATAATTTATAAATTCTTTGATATAATTTATTTTGATAATAATATACATTTCAAATTATGAGTAAATGTTAGTTATATGAATACATGTGAGTTCAATTTACCTAGAATTTGACATTCATGATCATCAAGTTTATGTGTCTGCATTTTTCTGCTTCTGCTTTTTTAATAAGTTTATCCAAACATGTTAAAAATCATAATAAGTGATGTTTTAATAAAGAACACTTTTTTTTTCCTAAAAAATGTTTAAACAAACATGTTCAATATCAAATAATTGAACGGTCAGGTTTATCAAATTTATTTTCTAGAATTATTTATTTATGTTGAGCAAGTTTGCCAGACTTATCCTTTTGTTTATTTGAGAAAGAATAAGACCTTACTAACAGCCTCTGTCCACTGTGCACTACTTTAACAAGCTCAAAGTTCGTGCGACCTTTCAGATCAAATGACATTGATGTTGAAAATGGAGGAATAATGTATAGAATAGTTTACAGTTGTAATCACTTTAGCCTCTTTTGTAACTAACTAGCTAACTGCAGTCAGTTATGCCAAACTGTCAGTTCCATGATGAGCATGACTTGGTGTCCAAGCTACCGAGTCCATATAAATACATGCATGTGTACTTCAGAATGAGTGGTGCAAATTCATTTTCAGTTTAGGTAGACCTTGCTCTTTAAGCTTAGTTTTAGTTTCTTCAAATAATCTATAATTTTTGCCAGGTCTTGAGAGCTTTTGAAGAATAAACAATTATTTTTCTAAATTGATATAATACAATGCATGAGCAGAATGTGTATGTGTTTGGGTGCTTAATGATTATAATATTTAATGATGCTGAACCTTGAAATTGACACTATCACAAATGCATTTATTAATCAGCTTTGGTATCGTTGTTTTCAAGTTTCAGTTTTCGAATTGTAGTGGAGCATCACTCATCCTTCATTGACTTATTCTTTTGTTGCTTCCAGTTGACTCCTAAGGAAGCCTTTCGGATGATTTCTCATAAGTTCCACGGTAAAGGACCTGGAAAAATGAAGCAAGAAAAGCGCATGAAGCAATATCAAGAAGAATTGAAGATGAAACAAATGAAGAGCTCAGATACACCATCGCTGTCTGTAGAGAGAATGAGGGAAGCTCAAGCCCGTTTGCAGACCCCGTATCTTGTTCTTAGTGGTCATGTTAAACCAGGGTATTTTTTTAATTTTACAGACTAGTAATTCCTGAAGTTTTAAGTTAAAATCTGTGTGCATGAAATGAAATGAGAAACTAGGAGCATGACTCGTTTTGTGATTTACTGATAAAAGTAATTTTTGCAAGGAGGGACTTCTGAAACTAAGATTATTTCCTTTCCACTCTTAAACCACCGAACTTGCTGTTCATCCATATCTACATTTTGGAGTAAAGACTTTGATCCTTAAAGATTTATGAAACCAGTTGGTTCAGGTTCATATAGTGATCCGTATCTTTGAATGTTTTCTAGAATAGAGGGAAGGCTTTATATTGTGTATAACTTAGTTTTTTAACCGTTCCTTGGATTTTCCATCTGTTATGATGGGATTGCCAGTCCATTTCATGTCATTTCATTCCCATCTTATCATTCGACTGTCTTCAGCCTTTACTAGCTGTTTCTTTTGGGTGTTTGTGAAAAAGGCAATCAGGGAACAGTTTTTATTTGGTTATTCTGTGATAAAACCGAATCTTCTCAAAGGTTATACATGTGATATTTTGTGTTTAAATTCCAATATACAGTAAAATTTCACTTCACACAATCGCCGTCCTACTTTTGCAAAAAAAAAAAAAGGTAAATTCATCCCCTTACGCAGCTTTTAGAGCCCATATTAAAATTTTTTGAAATTATTGGTGGCAAAAAGTGATTTTGGCATGCTAAGAAGTAATTAGAGATAATTTTAAGTGCTTTGGTGTGGTGGCCCTATGGGACTGTCACACGATGCTGATTGTGACCAAGTTCACCTTTTGCGTTGTATATACTATCTAGTAGCTGCTTTGTGATCCTTTGCAGCATTCTTGGGGTTGGCCATTTTGAACTGCTATCCAGATTATATTCTCCAGAAGTTGGAACAGTGTATTGTGTTAGGAGTAGCGTAACAAAACCTATTTTTGTTATTCTCCCTGTGATATTATGGCAGTAAAAAAACTAAAGGTTTTGTACTGAATTGTGCAAGTCTTTGAAAATATCAAAGGAATTAAGTAAATATAGCATGCATGGTTTTGTGTAGTTTCTTCTATCTTCTCTTATTTCCGTCTTTTGCTTAGTTGATATACCAATGTATGTGACTATTTAGTTTTTTGTTGGCAGACAAACTAGTGACCCAAAAAGTGGTTTTGCAACTGTTGAGAAGGATCTTCCTGGTGGCTTGACACCTATGCTTGGTGATCGAAAGGTAATTTAGGGCGCGTTTAAGCTTTTATCGTATATTTTTCTGATGTTTCTGTTAATCTTTTCTAGTTGTTTCAGGTAGAGCATTTTCTGGGAATTAAGAGGAAAGCTGAGCCATCAAGCTCGGATAACCCAAAAAAGCCCAAATCATAATTCCTCGGTCTACTAGCATTTTAAGCTAATATCCCTGTAAGCTTAAAAGTTTGACCCGTATTCTGTTGCTGGCTGCGGATAATTTGCAGAAGAATTTTTAGTGTTTGAACTTTGTTGGTAAAACTTGATTTTCTTGAAAGACGTATGTTGGTAGAAATTACAAGGACTGGAAACTTAACAACGCCAGTGGTTATATTTTTCTGACCGTTCCATGTGGGTCCAGAGCTCGCCATTCCTTTTGTACAAATAAGAGTTTATTTTCAATATATTAATTAAAATTTTGGATTGTGGTTTTTCTTGGGATAGTCTAGCAGCTTTATTAACTTGTTTCTTTTGGGATAGTGTAGAACTTTATTAGTATGTTCTTCAATAAATAATTTAGTGCAACTTGTCTTGATTATTTAAAAAAAAAATTGTTCGCATGAAGATTCACAATGACTTGGATAATTCTTCTTATAGTTCTATAGTATGCACGAAATCAATAATTTTAAGTAATAATTTAATTAAATAAACCATTAACAAAATTTGTAATCACATTTTCTTTATTCAATTATTGATTTTCACTCTTAACTTAAAGTTTTTTTTCTAGCATTTTTTACTTTGATTTCATTTTTATTTAAAATATCACCTAATGAATTTTGTTAAGAATTTTATCGTAAAAGTCTTAATTTAAATCTATGCCACCAAAAACATAGTTGTCACGAACAAATATTTAAACTAAATTTCTCTACGAGTTATTTTTATTATGGTTGGATCTTTAATAAGGTCCTAATTTTTCGAGTCTAAAACTATATTTAGATTAATTATTATTAGCACTCTCAACTATATATCTTAACTTTCTTAATTCTCCACCATATTCAATTCACTAACCTTCTTTTATCTAACATTTCTCCAATTCTACAATCATTCTTCAATTAAACTTGAATTTCAACATCTTACATGATGATGAGAAAACTAAAACCCTTGTGCTATTTGGATGAAGTTGCACCATTCCTTCTTAAATCTCATTATCAAAGACGAACAAGTTTTGTGAAACTAGAGACCATCGTAGAAGATGAAAGATGAGATATTAGTTCATTGCACAAGACTTTTTCTGTGTCTTTCCCTTTATTACTATCTGGATTTTTATATATTTTGTTGTCTAGAGGAGTGTTTTGATTTTATATGCAATCAAATAATGTATAGTAGAATTTACCTGGAATAATAAAAGTGAAAATTATATATTTAAAAAATTATTTGGTTTTGTTGCTAATAATAAAGCTTGCAATTACTTAAATCCGAACCTTATATAAATAGTTTATATAAAAGAAATAATAAAAAAATTAATATGAATTTTAAAGAGAATCAATATCATAAATAATACATTTAAAAAAAATTACTTAAAAAAGAAAAATTATATATAAACAGTAAAAACGTCTATTTAAATAAATAAATTCATAAGGTTCTATTTAATTTTAAAATGTAAAATTTTATGTGATTAAAAAACATTATCTATCCATACTTATTAAATATTTTCTAGTGTTTTATTTTTTTATAAATATATTAGTAAATATGCTAAACACTTACATTAATGTTAAAAGTATATTAAAAATCATAAGATAATAATAATAAATTATTTGAGTTCTAGATACACATATTTCATATCACACCTAATCGAGTTAATTATTACATAAATTATTAATTTGAATACTACTTTTAGATATTACATAAATCATAAAATGAGAGTATGAGAATACTTTCAACTAAAAACTTAAAAACATTAGTTTATAAGTTTTTTTATTTATAAATTACTCAGATTTTTATTTAATGTAAGATTTTAATTCACACTTAAACCCTTTAATACTTAAAAATAATTTTATTTTATTTTAATAATTAATCTAAGAGTAATAAAATTTTTGGATGCAATACTAGATGAAGATGTAAACAATTTTATAATTTTTCTATAAGTCTAAGAGAAGAGAATTTGTCTTTATGTATAATCTAGTTTAAAAAAAAATTGAAAGAGCAATGCTTATTGTTTTGGTTATCTTAATTGAGAACATAACGCTCAAGTTGTAATGCAAAATTAAGATGATGTTATGAATAAAAAAATATAATTGGTCTTAATAGTAGACGCAAGGTCTAATTTGATTTTCTTTTTGGGATAAATTAATGTTCAATACACGTTATAGTATACTCCTCTTTGACATTTCTATTATACTAATTTGATTTTCTTTTTGGGATATATTAATGTTTCATCTTTGATTTTTTTTTTTTTTATTTTGAGGGTAACATACCCATAAATATGTGGGAGTAAGTTATAGATATGATATAACTTACAAATTAGAATGACCAAAAATATATTTTATTTTAAATTTAATTAACTATTGAAAAAAAAGCTAAAATTAATTTGAATTTGACTTTAGTTTTTTTTTTCAATTTTGTATTTAATTTTTCCTTAAAATATCATGTTAGGTAAATTTTTTTAGAATTCCACATCATAGAGTTTTATTTTTACACATGTCATCAAATAAATAGTTGTCATGGAAGAATAAAATCTTCAAACAAATTCCTAGGAAGTTAATTGGACTTTTAACAATGTCCTAATTTTGAGTCTAAAACTATTATATATATTTCAGCTTTCTTAATTCTCTACCATCTTCAATTCTATAACATCTCTCTTTTGAAAACCCTTTTCTTTCTAACATTTCTATTATTGTTAGAATCATTCTTCAATTTGATTAACCTCTTCTTCTTACTTAAATTTCATTATTTTACAATGACAATGAGAAATACGAAATCAATACCATATTTGGATGAAGTTGCGCCAACTTTTCTAAAATCTCACCATCGAAGAAGGTCAAGTTTTATGAAATTAGAGACCATTGAAGAAGAAGAAATACAAGGGTTTAATTCATTGCACAAGAGTGTTTTTGTTTCTCTTCCTTTATTACTTACAGGGCTTTTATACATTTTATTATGTAGAGAAGTGATTTGATTTCATATTCAAGTGAATCATGTAGAATTTTTTTTATTATGAAATAATAATTAAAGTGGTTGAAAATTTTCACATTATTATATTATATAAATAAATAAAATATTTATTTTATTGTGCCAATTTTATAAAGAATAAACTTAATTATCCGTTATCAAATTAATATTAAATCATTCAGAAGATATGATTAAAGAATTTCTCGTATAAAAAATTATTAGAAATTTCACTTTCCCTTAAAAATATAACAAGCTTATAATATATAACAAAGATGAATAACTGTACCAAAAATTTCACTTTCACATAAAAATATAACAAACTTATAATATATAATAAAGATGAATATTAGATACATAATTTCTTTATCAAAAGTTGAATGTTGCTAATAAAATTTGTTTTCTTAATACTATAATTTTATTTTACAATATTTGAATGATTACGGTAGAGTTATATTTGTATATAATATTATCTAATTATGAGTTATTATTTAAAATAATAAGTATGTTTTTGTAAATCACTTATTTAAAAAACATATAAGATTTTCTTATTAAAGAATACTAAAACCTTAAAAAATTGTATTAAAGGAAATCCTCTACGTACCTAGCCATTTTCATTTAATATTCGGGTAGTCCGACCCAACCCTAAGCCAATCCGAACTATAAAGAGGTGGGTCGACCCAATATTGACCCGACGAGTCTTCTTCTTCACAATTCAAACACCGCTCCGCTGCAACACTCTTGGGTGTGAAGAGGTGCCCAAACAAAGCAAAGGCGTGGTAAAGCAACACCGCAATGCCTCTACAACGATGCGCAATTCAAAGCTTGCAGTCTCTCTCCTCGTAGCACGTGCCAAGTCACTCCAACTTCATCACCACACGTGTCACTGCGTAGCTTCTTCCTCTTCTCCGGCCTCTACTCCACTCTTCAGGTTTCTCCCTTCTTCCTTACGAAACTCGAAGTCCCTCGTCTCCGCGCGACTCTTCTCCAGCTATTACTCACTCGAACAGTTCTCCGATGATGAATACGACTGTGACTTCGAGAATCAGCAGGTTTTTCTTTATTTCTCTCACTTTTTTTATTTTTTTTATTGTGTTTAGATGTTTCACGTGTGATGGTGGTGGAGGTGATTTTTTTTTTTTGTTTAGGTATTTTAAGTTCACTTTGGGTGGTTAAGTTAATATGTTTTAATTGTATGGATTGAATTGAAAAATAATACCTAGAATTTAATGGATTACTGAAGTGAAAAGGTTTTTTAGTAACTTTTTGAAATTTTGGGTTGTGAATGTTGTTTCCAGAACCAGCAGTTTATTTAATTTTTTTAATAATATTTTTGAGTTTTGCTGGTAATGCTTCCACCCCCAAAAGATGTATGTTTGAGTGTTTTAAATGGGATTTGTGATGTTTTGTCTGTTGTTTAGTTAGATTTTTGAATAAAACTGAAATCCAATTGACTAGTGTTTTTTTTTTCATGCACAACTTGTTCTGGATATGTTTTCTACAATTGCATTATGTATAAAAAGTATTTTTCGTTATAAAAATTATGGGTTATCATGAGTGTATGCTTAGGTTTTTCAATAGAAGATGGAATTGGATTGAGGCTCAATTAGGATAAAATGAATCTATTATTCTGTATTCAGTAGGTTCTGAAAACCATGGTTAGCTCTGTTGTAGGGCTACTGTTTCTAAGAAAATGTAATGGTTATTGTAGGTATCGTCTACAGTGGCTAATGTGGATGAGTGGAAATGGAAACTCAGCATGCTGTTACGCAGTGAAAAGGAACAGGAGATTGTATCAAGAGATAGAAAAGATAGGAGGGACTATGAACAAATAGCTAACCTTGCCAAAAGAATGGGGCTATACAGGTAAAATAATACTCATCTACTCAAGTCATGTAGAATGAGAGAAAAAAAGGCCTCATTGCTTGAAGCATCTTTACTTTGATTGACTTTAAAAGATATTAAAATTTTTAAAAGAATCTTTGTCTTTTGATTTAAATCAATATTTGTCTGTTATCATAATGCACAGTGAGTTGTTTGGAAAAGTGGTCGTTGCAAGCAAGGTGCCTCTTCCTAACTACCGTCCAGATTTGGATGACAAACGTCCACAAAGAGAGGTAATAACTTGCCTAGGACCAGTGGGAAGAAAACATCAAACTTATACTAGGATTGATGTTATCCTAGAAATATAATCCTCCTGCATTCCATTGTCACAGTTGGTGATTCCACTAAGCTTGCAAAGGAGAGTAGAGGGTTTGCTGCAGGAATACCTTGATAGACTTCAGTTGAATTCTGCAAAGACAAATGAGAGCCTGGATGATGTGAACTCCGCCAATCAAGTTAAAAAATTAGACATGGATGAAAGTGATGATACTTTTGTGGATGAATCTGTTATGGAAAAGGTTCTCCAAAAGAGGAGTTTGAGGATGCGTAACATGCAAAGAGCTTGGCAGGTTTTGTTTGATTTCTTGAATTCTTTTGTTAGATTTGGATTTGGTATCACACATGCTTGAATTAGTCACATTTAATAGTCTGTGACTATTGGGTTTATTTTTGTAAATTGTTAATTTTCTTTTCGTTCCAGTTTCATATCCAAATTATTAGTTTGTCTGGGCAGTTATTCTAAATTAAAATGAAAAAATATTTTTTTCCGTGCATAGATTATCTTATACACAATTACACACTCAGACTGAAGGTTAAAGACTAGGTTCCAATCTTTTTGGTTGGCCAACAACCACTTTTATGTTCTTTATTGTACAGTCCCTTTTGTAGCATGTTATTTGTCAGCCTTAGTTTTGTTGTGTATGGGAAAGTGACAACTTTCCTTTTGAAATACTAAAATTGGTTACTTGGTCATATATGATACTATTGCTGCTGTCTTCCTGGCTGAGGCCACTTATCTGCAAGCTTGTGTGTTGACAATGGAAGAGCTTAGTTTTAATTGCTATAGTAATTTGAATATCCATGATTTATCTGAAGGCTTACCAATTCAGATATTTGCATGTTTGTATTAATAGCTTGCAAATGAAGTTTGGAATTTGTTGATAACATGCAAGTTTTGTTTTAACAATCTTTCAAACAAATAATCATATTTTCATTGTTTTTAAAAGTTCCCTACTTATATCAACATAAGATATTTTCATGTTATTAAACAATCTAAAGCCATATAGTTCAAGAAAATGGTTGTGTACAGATGCACAGAGTCAAGAGGTACATGCCAAAAGCTTATATGACTGGCATATAGCTATACTAATTCTTGGTATATGAGTATGGTTCAATTGGTTTCTGTATGTTTTATTGAGTATGCTCAATGAACTTCTTATACCATGCCTATATTTTTTTTCCAACAAACATTTTATAGTGAATTGAGGTTCTCGGGATGTTTAGAAAAATACCAATTATTTTACTTCTGGAACTGCTTTTGTAATTCTCTTTCACGAAGTAAAAGATTCTTGAAATATTTTGGCTTTAAATTATATGTTTTGTACTTCTTTGTGTATAGGAATCACCTGAAGGCAGGAAGATGCTGGAATTCCGGAAGTCTCTACCATCGTTCATGGAAAAACAAGGTTTACTTCAAGCTATAGCACATAATCAGGTATGCTTGTAATTGTATTTCATTATATGTCTGCCAGGTTAGCTATCATAACATCTTTAGTATTTTGAATCTTGAAAATTGAACACTGTATCGACTACCCTAATCCCACAAGGTTTTAGGACATAAGAACTGAAAAATGAATTTGGACTTAGAAATTTAGCTTTTAGTTAGATTTAAATGATCTAAAATCTAAGATCAATTAGATCTTTGTCTACCAAACCAGCAATGAACACCTGCAGCTAAAAAGTGGGTAAAATTAAGTTGAATTGGACTGAACCAACACTTAAAATGCACAAATAAGTCCTTGGAATCAACACTTCACCCTGTGGAAAAATTGCAATGAAAGGCTCATTTTATCTAAACTCTGGTGTTTGGGTATTTTTATTGGTCTTTTAATGCTCTGTGTCAATCATTTTTTAAAATTGATTTATAATCCTTCCTTTATCCCCCTCCTTGAATGATTAATTTGGTATTTTTCATTTGACTTCAAATTAATGGATGCTCTGTACTTATAATTTTCACAATGATGAGAAGGCTTTTGATGAGCAGCAGGTTGCTTTAACACTTTACAATCTTCATGTAATTATGCCATTTTATTGAATTTTACTTAGTGAACTTCAACCTGCCCTTATTCAATACCAGTAATTTTCAGGTTTAATATGTTATCCTTGTCTGTGGTTTTCGACTAGGAATGAACTGAATGTCTGAACTCAGTTGAAGTTATGTATTCATAGTTGATACCTTATTTTGTTAAGTAATGATCTAGGTGATAGTTATATCTGGAGAGACTGGCTGTGGTAAAACCACTCAACTTCCTCAATATGTATTAGAATCAGAGATAGAGTCTGGTCGTGGAGCATTTTGTAGCATTATTTGCACGCAGCCTCGAAGGATATCTGCCATGACAGTTTCCGAGAGGGTGTCAGCCGAGCGGGGAGAGCCTCTTGGTGAAACAGTAAGCCCTACTTTTCTAGAAATGGACCAAAACTGAGATAAGTAATTGTAAAGAAAACAGATGCAAATACTACTATTCTTGATGAAAATATAAGATTCATAAACTACTCATTTGCTTTTGAATGGGATTTTAAAATTGGGAATATCTTTTTTCTTGCTGCTATACCACAACAGAGGTTTTTTGTTAGGTTGGCTTCAAAGTTCGATTAGAAGGAATGAAAGGGAAAAACACCCATCTGCTATTTTGTACCAGTGGCATATTACTTAGAAGGTTACTGAGTGATCGAAACCTGAATGGTATAACCCATGTTTTTGTGGATGAAATTCATGAAAGGGGCATGAATGAAGGTAGTTTCCTAACTGACAATCTAACATCAGTTAGTGCCTTATATAATGCTAAAAGAAGTACCTAAGAAGACTTATGCTTTTGACTGTTGGTTTGTGTTTGTCTCAGACTTCTTATTAATTGTGCTAAAGGATCTGCTTCCAAGGCGTCGGGACTTAAGATTGGTTTTAATGAGTGCCACCTTGAATGCTGAGCTTTTTTCAAATTATTTTGGAGGTGCTCCTACATTTCAAATTCCGGTAAGATTATCCTTTTTAGTTGCGCTTTTATTTGTTTTGACAATTGAACTTCAATTGTTCCAAATGTTAGATGCCCATATATATGCAATTAAATGTTCATTAATGTTGACATTCAAATTGTTTCATGCCAAGTGGGATGGTAGGATGGTGATTAGGTGGATGAGTGTTTACATGCAGTTTGTATATCCAAATTTGTGCTTGGTCTTTAATGCTTTTAAGACATTTTTTAGGCTTAGAGTGTGGTTACCTTATCTTCCTATGGCCACAAAACAGTTAGTAACATAGTTGCCAAACACGTTGTGAATCACATCTAGGATTGTTTGATCTATTTCTGAAATGTGAATGAATAGTAACACATGGTATGATTCAGAAACTCGCCAATAAAAAAACTTAAATATACACTGTTCAACACTATACCAAGATAAAACTCACAAACATCAAATAGTGCTTAAATTTCACATACAACTATGGAAAAGTAAACTCCCATGATACTGTGCCAGCACTTGCTAAAATTCATTTGTCATAATTCTTAGTGTGCCTCTGCCTACTAATGGTACTTCAGCCCAAGTGCAGTGCCCCACATTGTGGATATTGGACCTTAATTTTGACTTGCAATTTACTGCCCAAGACAATGAATATTCTCTGATAATGTCATTCTTTTCCTTCTTAGCCTTAGTAGTCACATAAAGTGACTACATGAAGCCAATCAGAAGGACAAGAAAGAGGAACATATGCCAATTAAGTTACTTGTATCCCATATTTTTTTAGTGAGTGAGTTTGAAGCCTTGGTTTCAAAAGAAGGAAAATAGAGCATAGAATTGCCAGATAGGGTATGTACAATGATGATTGTATGTAGCCCTGTTTAAGAAGAGTGAAAGCAAAGCAATAGAATAATCAAATAGGCTGCATTCAGTAATGCTTCTTCAATTCCTTTTGCTTTTAACAATATTTTTAGCTTTTATGATTTCAATTTCTCTGATGATAATTGGTGAGAGAAAAGGAAAAGCAACAAATTGTTGAATCTCGTTATTTAAACTATTGATATTAAATCACATCAATTCTTGCATTTATTGCACTATTCAAAGCAATCTGCGATTCAGCAACTGGTGCTAATCACTGTGTCTTTGAATGGTATTGATCAATGCTATACATGTCTCTTTAAATAGCTCAGTCCATTTTAAATTTAAGATGACGCATTATGCACATTTCTAACTTGTTTGATACAATAGTGTAACTGAATGCTATACATGCAATGTGTCAACTATTTCATGAGATATGTGCTCTTTTGTTGTAAGCTTTTTCTTTCTCTGTTTTTTGCAATGTTTATTGGTAGGACAAGGCTCAATTCTTTTGTTTTCATTGCCCAGGGTTTCACCTATCCTGTTAGAGCTCACTTTTTAGAAGATGTGTTGGAAATTACTGGATATAAATTAACTTCCTTCAACCAAATTGATGATTATGGTCAAGAGAAGCTGTGGAAAACACAAAAGCAACTTGCACCACGCAAGAGAAAAAATCAGATCACTTCTCTTGTTGAGGTATGCTGCAACCTTGTACATTTGGCCTTCAATATAACGTTCAATTGATGCGTAAGAACCTTTCTTCATGGTTTTCTGTGAGATTTTGCAATCTTGGAATTTAGAAATGTTTAGTGTGAAAATGTATGGGAAAATATTTAGTTGATATCTAGCATAACTAACTCCTAACTACCCATAGTAAGGAAAGCTAGAAGCTGTTTACAATATATCACTTACCTACCAACGTTCTTATCAATTGACATCAGATCTTATCACCACTCAACAATAAATGAGTGGTGTGGGTTGGGATGTTGTCATTCTCTTGTATGTTTCACTTATTGGTGTGATAGAAAAGTTACAATTCTCTTCATTCTGGATCGGTTTTCTCATCTATATTTTGGTGCATTGGTGGGCCATGTGCAGGGAAGATGGAAAAATCAAATAAAGATTAAGGAAGAGAGAAAGAAATTGTCTATCCTCTTAATTATGGCATATTTTGGTGCCAAAACAAAATTATTTATCCTCAATCTTGGCCACCAATATTCTGTCATCACAACAATGATGTCATAAAGTGTTTATATTTTTAATTGCATGTATGTTTAACTTGTTGTTTGCCTAAAGTGCCTTGCTGCATGCGAATTCTTAGCTGCTTGAAACTAGGATGTATATTTCTTAGACTTGATAGTAAATACGTGTTAAAAGAAAGAAACGAAGTTTGAGAAGAGAGACAGGGAGTGTATTTTCTGAATATGCTTGAGTTTCCATCCAGCATATTGATCTATTTATAATTGTTAAGTATAAGTGTTTACTTTTCTGTTTCTTTTGTATGTATCCAGCTTTTGGGTTAGAGGCTAAAGCCTTACTTTTGTACTTGTACTCTACTCTCTATGTATAAATATGTGATAGTGATATACACTGATTTTTAGTCACTATTTATATTCAAGTACAATCAAAAGGGTTACGTAGGTACTAAATAGCTTCAGCTATTTTCAAGAGAACAATTAAATTATCACAACTTCCTAAGATACATTGAACCTAGTTAAATACTTGGAAAAATAAGAAGCATTAGCTGCTCCTATTTCCAACAATAAGTGGTGTGTTGTATGCAATTGCCTCCTATTTTTTTAGTAATATTCTGCAGTTCCCTGTTATGAATGAGATGATGTGACTAGTTATGCCTTGTTTGCCTTAAAAACTGAAACCAAATTCTGTTGGAAAAATGATCTTCTATTTTCATACTTTTGAACAGGATGCTCTTTCTAAATCAAGCTTTGAGAACTACAGCTCCAGGGCACGTGATTCACTGGCATCTTGGGCCCCTGACTGCATAGGGTTTAATCTCATTGAGGCTGTTCTGTGCCATATATGTCGGAAGGAACGGCCAGGTGCTGTCTTAGTGTTTATGACTGGGTGGGAGGATATAAGTTCTTTACGAGATCAGCTTAAAGCGCATCCTCTATTAGGAGATCCCAATAGGATTCTACTTCTAACGTGTCATGGATCAATGGCAACTTCCGAACAGGTTGGTTATTTCCTTTAATGGAACGCAGTTTACTTCTAAACATTTTTTTTTTCTGTGTGATCTATATTTGTGATTAACCTATCATGTCTTTTGTTGGCAACCAATTGAATTTAGTCAATTTGATTCAATAGTTGTTTTTCTTTGAAATTCAATTATATAAAGTGATGATATATTTGATTATTTCTCTAAAAGTCATTTTATATATATTTAATGGTAAATAATTGTTGTATTTCAAAAATATAATAACTTCTTTCTTTTCTTGATGGTCATAAGTTTTTCATTGTTGCAACTTTTGTTAGGTTCTGTGACTGAAAGAACCTAAGGTTCCACGCAATCTCACGTCTCTTCTCTTACACACACAAGAAATAATACTCCCAAGTACTTTTATTATTGCTTTGAACATGCACAATACTCTGATTACAATCAACAACTTCCCCTCATAGGATGTATGTAATGATCCTGTTAATGAACTAACTTCCCAAAAACTCCCCTCTCTCACTCCCCAAACAGCTATAAATAGTCTTATTAAAAAAACTATGCTCTGCCACCCATAACTAACTATAAGTTAGTTATTATTTAATTTTTCTCTCCTAACATGTACTTTCCAATCCCTAACATTACCCCCTCCTGGCCCAACAACCTTGTCCTCAAGGTTGAAATCAGGGAATTGATATTGCATGGTAGCTTCGTCCTCCTTCAGGTCCTTCATTCTGCCATTGCACTAAAACCTGCTTTACAGACTCCTCCTGCCCTTCCTGATGTATGCGTCTCTTGTCAAGAATCTTGTAGGGTAGACAAACTGTAGTTTGGCCCTGTAAAGCTTCTGGTAGGTCTTGTTCAACAGGATGAGAAGCTACTGCTTTCTTTAGTTGGGAAACATGGAACATCGGGTGTATCCGCGCGGTGTTAGGGAGTTGGAGGTAAAAAGCGACTTGGCCAATTTGTCGCAAAACTAGAAAGGGACCATAGTACTTGGCTGAAAGCTTCGGATGTAATCTAGTTGGCATGGACACTTGGCGGTGAGGACGAATTTTTAAGAACACATAATCCCCTACGTGAATAGATGAAGGTTTTCTGTGCTTGTTTGCGAACTTAGTCATTTGTTGTTGAGCCCGAGTCAAATGGTACAAAGCGGTGTAAGGAGGGTGGTGACCTACCATAAACCACTTCCATAAACCACTTCAAAAGGGGTGGTTTTTACCGCTCCCTGATAGCTAGTATTATACCAATACTCACAACCCAGGGTATAAACTGAGACCACACCTTAGGTTGTTCAGAGCTAAAGCACCTTAGGTATGTTTCCAAAGTCCTATTTAGAACCTCTGTTTGTCCATCCGATTCTGGGTGGTATGCTGTGCTCATGTTGAGCCTAGTGCCCTGTAAATGAAATAGTTCGTTCCAAAACAAACTCAAAAATGTGGGGTCCCTGTCACTTACAATAGAAGCTGGTATCCCATGTAACTTAACCACTTCCTTGACGAAAACTTTTGCAATAGTTCTGGCTGTGTAGGGGTGTTTTAAGGGAATAAAATGACCATACTTGCTTAACCTATCCACAACCACCAAGATTGCATCATAACCATTGGATTTGGGTAGGCCCACTATGAAATCCATGCTTATATCCTCCCACACAGCATTAGGTATAGGTAGGGCCTACAACAAATCTTGAGGTGAGGAGGCCAAGTATTTGTGCTGCTGACACACTAAACACGCAGCCACAAATTTTGTCACCTTATTCTTCATTCCAATCCAATAAAGGGATTGCCCAATCCTCTTATAGGTCCTAAAAACACCCGAGTGTCCCCCTGTTGGTGTGATGTGATACTCGGCTAATAGCTTGGGAATCCAGAGGGATGTGGCTGAAATAACCCACCGAATTCTTCTAAAACACTCTCCAATTCAGCTGTCTTCCTAGTGGTTAAAAGTGTTTCTCCCTTTTTACTGCAGGCCCCACCTGCTGTCATTTCCCAGAGTATAGTTATGACCTCTATATTTGTCTCCTTTATCAAAGCATGTGGAGAAATTAATTTTTTGGTAAGGGTAGGGTCACCTCTTATCTCAACTTGTTGTCCTTCCCACTCAAAATTCATGGTTAACGATTTCCACCTATCAAGTCTCCCAATGTTGCCAACCATGCCATCCCCAATATCAAGTCTACTCCACCTAGCTTAAAAAGGAAAAAGGTTTCTTGCACTTCATAATTACTTAAACTCGCTTTAATGTCCTTGAACTCACTTTAATGTCCTTGCAGCACCCATTGGTTAACTTCTTTTGTCCATCCCCAAGCTTCACACAATAAGGCCTCGTGTCTTCCACCAGCAGACCTAATTCTGCCACTAAACTTGAAGCAACGAAATTGTGACTAGCCCCGCTATCAATCAGAATCAACACCTTTCTCCCTTTTATCCAACTTGACAGTTTCATGGTGTTTGTTGGTGTTAACCCTCCTGCTGAGAACAAAGAAAGCTCCATCCTTTTATGCTCCATCTCTACTTTTCCTTCGTCCTCTTCTTCCCCTCTAGGACCCTTTTCTTCTTCATCTTCTGCCATGATGATTACTCTAAAATTTTTTTTTCTGGGCTCCTATGACCTGGACTATAAGGGCCCCCACAATGAAAACATCTTCCTTCCTCCCTTCTTCGTATATATTCAGGATATGGCAGATTCTTCACTCTTCTTGTTCTAACTTCCCCTATAGAAGTGTCTCCTATCTTGGACCCCCATGAAGTGTCCCCTGTCCCCTTCCTGGTAGTACTGTTATTACTGGGTGCTCCTTGGGAAGAACCAGATCCTTAATGGTCTCGGTTCTTGTTATCTTGCTCGTTCCTCCTTGATAACGGAACCCAAAAGTTTTGTTCTAGTACGCATTTCCTCCTCCTTCACTCGTTTCTTTCATGACATCTTCAACATCTCTTGCTATCTCCATAGCTCTTAACAAATCCTTTGGGTCGTGAGGCCTGATTTGTTTTCGAATTCTAGTTCTTAGCCCTGCCAAAAAATATCCAAGAAGATGGTCTTCCTCCATAGTTGGGATATGAGACACTAAAATTTCAAATTCCTGAATATACTCTTCCACACTTCCTCCTTGTTTAATGGCTGCCAATCTTTCGAAGACTGTACTTCGTTCCTTTCCTCCAAACCTTCTATTCAAAGCCACGGTGAATTCTTCCCAAGAAGGATTCTTGGTTTTTTGTTTCCAAAATCTGAACCAATGATTCACATTCCCTTCCATGCTGATAAAAGCCAGACGCAATTTCTCTCTTGGGTTGATCTTTTGAATCTCAAAAATTTTTTTTGCCCTTCCAATCCACCCCACAAGGTTAGTTCCTTCAAACACAGGTAGATCTACCCTCTTCACCCACTGTCTGTACACTACTTCTTCCTTAGAATCTTCTTGCTCCAATCTTCCTCCTATCCCCCCTTGTACCGAATTTTCACTTTTCTCAAATTCTCTGTCACTTTTTTTGTAATTTTTGAGTAAATCTTTCATTTCTTGAATGACATTTCTCAGCTCTGTATTCACCTTTTCCTGTTCACTGGTCCACCGTTCAGCCCACCTTTCCAATGCTCCTACTCTTCCCTCCATGGCTCCTTGATTTGGATCCAGTAGGTCGGACCAAATTGTTAGGTTTTGTGACTGAAAGAACCTAAGGTTCCACGCAAATACTCCCAAGTACTTTTATTATTGCTTTGAACATGCACAATACTCTGATTACAATCAACAACTTCCCCTCACAGGATGTAATGATCCTGTTAATGACTAACTTCCCAAAAACTCCCCTCTCTCACTCCCCAAACAACTATAAATAGTCTTATTAAAAAAACTATGCTCTGCCACCCATAACTAACTCTAAGTTAGTTATTATTTAATTTTTTTCTCCTAACATATACTTTCCAATCCCTAACAACTTTCCTTTCCTTTTGAATTTTTTATTCAAAAGTGAAAAATATATGTTCACAATCATCATATAGAATAAAGTAACTTAAAATATTGGTAGAAAAAAGTACACTAGAGAATTTTGAATTGCATAAAATATAGTTGTATGCTGTGATGCAAGATTTCCTGACCTATATCTAATGTTTCTGAGATGATAAGGAACAAAAAATAGAGAAAAGAAGAAAATATATTTTTGATTGAACAAAAAATTTGCAGAGCAAAGAAGTATCTCCTTATAGCGTTTACCCTATACAATCAACTTGTTGTTAGGAATCAAAGAGGAGAATGGAGATAAGAGAAGAATGATACTATTGTTTGAGCAAAAAATGTACACAACAATGGATGTTAGTCTCCTCCAAGGGTTTCTGATTTTTCCTTTCAGACATAAACTATAAAATCTACTCTGATCTCATGTCCCCTTTATTATAACGAATCGATTCTAAATCTCTATTGGACTAATTGACTATCAATTGCCCTTATTCAGCTCTCATATATCCTAACAGTTTTTGGATAGGGAAAGGAAATTTGTTTGGGAGAAAAGAGAAAAGTACATTATAGGAGGGTGGATGGGAAGAAAACAGCAAAAATAAATAAACATGGATCTACATATCTTTTTGTATCTTGTTTGTTATATAATTGACATATCAGATTATTAAAATTTCTTGGCTCAAGATCAAGTCTTGCCATATATGTTTTTGGGAATACCTTCTTCGACCTTGTCATTATTTTTCAATTCATTTTGCATGCTTTCTTATTTAAAAGTTATTTGTTTTCATGTACTTTTTTCTTATTATAAAGTAGTAATTGAAGGTAGGCAGTCCCATATTTAATTTTTTGCCCTTATGAATACACTTAAGATTAATTGAGAAAAAATATATCTTCAGGGCTCACGGGACCCTTCTCCCTTTCTTCTATTTATAATGGAAAATGTGATACAATGAGACGTAGAAGACTAAATAAGAGACTGCAACTAGGACCCTAGGTGCAAACCTAGATACAGATGTAGGAAGTTTCCTATACTCAACACCCTATACTTAGGTCTAATGATAATACTAGGAAGTAATGATTCTAACACTTCCCCTCAAGCTGGAGCATACAAATTGTATGAACCAAACTTGGAACAAATGAACTCAATTCGAGGTCCCCTTAATGACTTGGTTAACACATCTGCAAGTTGGTCATTTGATCCAACGAACTCAGTACAAATTTCCTTGGACATTAATTTTTCTTGAACAAAATGGCAGTTGATTTCTATGTGTTTAGTCCTCTCATGAAACACCAGATTTGATGCAATGTGGAGAGCAGCTTGGTTGTCATAGTACATCTTCATAGTCTAGATTTCACAGAAATTAAGCTCCCGAAGAAATTGTTTTACCCATATGAGTTCATAAGTGAGAAACGTCATTGCCCGATATTCAGCTTCAATGGATGATCGGGCCACTATATTTTGCTTCTTACTTTTCCATGAGATAACATTTCCTCAAAGGAAGACACAATATCCTGTAGTAGAGCGTCTGTCAATAGGGGAGTCTGCCCAATCAACATCACAATACCCGGAGACTTGAACATTTCCTTTATCTCCATATAGTAAACCCTGTCCAGGAGCCTTCTTACGGATGATGGCATTCCAATGTCCAAGATATGGAGTCTATATAAACTGATTAACCACTCCAACTGCAAAAGATAGATCATGCCTCGTAATAGTAAGATAAATTAGCTTTTCAACAAGCCGCCTATATCTCTCTAGATCAAAGAATAATTCACCTTCTTCTGTCGTTAGCATCTGATTTGGATCCATAGGACTATCTACTGGTCTACCGTCAATCATGCCTGTTTCTTGTAATATATCAAGAGCATACTTCCTTTGAGAGATTACAATTCCATCTTTTGACTGAGCTACTTCAATGCCCAAGAAGTATTTGAGGCTTCCAAGATCCTTGGTTTGAAAATGTCTACACAAGTACTCCTTTAGTTGAGATATTCCAGCAGTGTCATTTCCTGTAATGACTATATCATTAACATATACTATTAGGTAAACCCATTTCCCGAGAGATGTATGATAGTAAAAGACAGAATGGTCTCCTTCACTACGTCTTAGCCCAAATTTTTGAATAATATAGCTGAATTTTCCAAACCAAGCACGTGGTGATTGCTTGAGACCATATATAGAACGATGCAATTTGCATACTATACCAAACTCCCCCTGAGCAACGAACCCAAAAGGTTGTTCCATGTAAACCTCTTCCTCAAGATCACCATGGAGGAAGGCATTTTTGATATCCAATTAATGAAGTGGCTAGGGACGAATGACTGCCATGGCAAAGAAGAGATGAATAGTAGTCATCTTGACCATAGGAGAGAAAGTGTCACAATAATCAAGACCATAAACCTGAGTGTATCCTTTTGCAACCAATCGAGCTTTGAGTCGATCAACTTAACCATCAGGGCCAACTTTAACTGCATACACCCATCGGCAACCAACAACCTTCTTACCCGGTGGGAGGAGCACGAGCTTCCAAGTATGACTGTGTTCAAGAGCCTGCATCTCTGCAATCATGACTTGTCGCCATCCAGGATGATCGAGTGTTTCATTCACATTCTTAAGAATAACAACAGAAGATTATGAAGATAAAGGGGAACAATAGGAAGACGATAATCTGTGATAGCTAAGACAATTATAAATGGGATGTGGATATCGAGTGGAACGAGTACCTTTTCTGAGAGCAATGGGCCAGCCTGAATCACCTTCACCAAGAGTCGTGGTATCAAGGGACATATGAACAAAACATACACAACTAAAAACACGGGGAGAAATGTGGAAAAGAGGATTATCTGGAAATAGAATGGAGATAGGGACCTTATGATTGAGAGAGGATGATGGCATCCAATTAATAAAAAAACATGCAGTTAAGATGACATCTCCTCAATGATGGACTGGAATATGGGCACTAAGCAAAAGGGTACGAGCAGTTTCAACCAAGTGTCTATTTTTCTTTTCTATTATACCATTTTGCTGTGGCGTATGATGACAAGTGGACTGATGTAAGATACCATGTGAACTCAAAACGACAGAAAAAGCAGATGAAAAGTACTCCTTGGCATTGTCACTTCTCAAGATTTTGATCACTTGCCCGAATTGATTTTTAATTTCATTTAAAAAGGATGTGAAGATGGATAATAATTTAGAGCAATCTTTCATAAGATAAACCCAAGTACATCTCGAAAATTCATCAATGAAAGTAATAAAATGCCTAAAACCAAAAGATGAGATACGACCAAGTCCCCAAATATCGGAATGGATGATAGAAAAACTAGAATTACCTTTTGATTGAGACCTTTTAGGAAAGACAGATCTAACATGTTTGCCTAGTTGACATGACTCACAATCTAAGGTCTGGAGACTACTAAGTTCAGGACACATTTTTTTTTAACTTGGACAGATGAGGGTGGCCAAGCCGATCATGTAACATTTTAGGACTAGGGGCTGCAGCACATGACACTCGTGGACGAGATCCAAAATGATATAATCCTCCTGCTTCATATCCATCACCAATCTGTCTCCTCGAACCACGCTCCTGTATAACAAAAGATTTGTTATCGAAGGTTACGGAACAATTTAACATTTTGGTTAACTGGCTTAAGGAAATTAAATTGAAGGGACAATTAGGAACAAAAATGACAGATTTTAGATTTTAGGAAGGAGACAGGATGACTTGACCGACTCCCTTTGAGGAAGTTTTAGAGCCATTTGCAAGGGTTATAAACTGAGGTTTGTCTTGAAGTGAAATGGTTGAGAACAAGGAGCTATTACCAGAGATGTGGTCAGAAGCACCAGACCAATTACTCATGAATTGTGACTTTCCATGGATTGAGAGATACAAGCTATTGATGTACTTGGAGCTTGAGATGGCTGTGTCAAGCTGTTGGACTTGAGTCGTAGGTACTCTTGATACTCATCCTCAGTGAACTCTGGATTAAGGTGGTCGTTTCAGCCTGAAAGACATTGACTGTTTTGGATGGAAAACCGTGTAAGGAGTAACAGTTTTCTTGGGTGTGACCCATCCTTTTGCAATATGTGCACTGAGGACGCCCACGACCGTCACGTCCGCCTCCTCTAGTTCCATGTCCTTTTCTTCCTCGAGTGGCGACCATAACAGATGGTTCTACTAGAGATGCCAGCTTGTTTGTCGAATCATAAAGGCGTTTAATATCGTTGACATATATGTTGAGTCATCTTCAAAAAAGAGTGACATGTCTTGAAGGCCCTAAGAGACGTTAAAAGTCTTGGCTCCACGGATTGCCACAATAGGGCACACAACTGAAAATCATCTTGCTTCCATTGTTCAGCTTTTTCTTCAGGCACATGGCTTCCGTCTTTCTCAAGATGGTCATGATGTCTCTGGCTGAGGAACCACATCTCGATGACAGCGGACCAAGAGAGGTAATTTTGTTCGTTTAGCTTCTCGAAAGTAATGTAAGGACTTCCAGAGAATGAAATAGCACTTCCAGTTGCCATTTCTGATCAAGAGGGCAAAAAACAGAGAGCAGATACACAAAAACTATGAAATTTTTTTAAAGTCCTAGGGAGATTTCCGAAAGCGGGATGCCTGGACTTCACCAAAAAATAGTTTGGAAGGTCAAAACGAACAAAGGAGGTTCGGGCGAAAGCTACTGAGGTGGCGCGGTGACGATCCGGCGAGTGCACGCCGGCGCGTGGACTGCACGCACGTGGCGGCAGCGGACGGAGATGGTGCGTGTGGCTGCGCGTCGCGAGAAGTCTCCCTTCGGCACCGGCAGGGTTGGCTGTCGCTCGGAGAGGCAGTCCAAATCCGATGGTTTTCGGACAAAATTGTGGAGGTGGTCGGCGGCGGGCGACGACGAAAAGTGACGGAAAGATGCTTGATAGTGTTGGACAGTCCAACAGAGCAGAGGATAGCTTCAGATAGTAATAAAACTGAGCTTGGATGGCCGCGGACAGCGGTGGCTAATGGTGGACAGCCGCGGACAGCGATGACTGATGGTGGTGGACAAGACCAGACAGAAACCAGAGCAGGATCGACCCGCTCTGATACCAACTGAAGATTAATAGAAAAAAAATATATCTTCAAGGCTCACAGGACCCTTTCCTCTTTCTTTTATTTATAATGGAAAATATGATACAATGAGACATAGAAGACTAAGTAAGAGACTGTAACAAGGACCCTAGGTGTAGACCTAGATACAGACGTAGGAAGTTTTCTACACTCAACACCCTATATTTAGGTCTAATGATAATATTAGGAAGTAATGATTCTAACAAATACTAAGTTCTATATTGATAATATAATTTATTTTTTATTTGTAAGAGCATATTGATGATAATTGATTATTTTTTTTTTCCTATTTGATTCTATCTTACTGTATTCTGTCAAAATATTGAAAATCTTGCTTTATATTTTTTGTAGAAACTCATATTTGAGAAACCACCTCCAAATATAAGGAAAGTAATACTTGCTACAAATATGGCAGAGGCAAGTATTACAATCAATGACGTAGTTTTTGTGGTTGATTGTGGAAAAGCAAAAGAGACCACTTATGATGCTTTGAATAACACACCTTGTCTTCTACCTTCTTGGATATCACAAGCATCTGCACAACAGGCAAGTATCTATATCTCCTAAGCATTCACTGTAGTTACTTTTAACTTTTGTAGTGTCCATGCATCAACTGATGCTCCAATCCCTATTGTATATACTGTTGGGAGCCCTGGATATATGATATTTTCTTCTTTTTTTCTTGGTAAATGTTGATATGATTTAGGAGGGTTCATCTAATTTTAAGTTTTTCCTTGTTCACACCAAATGTATGCATGTTGAATTTGAAAAGAATATAGCCTTTGGTGGAGGGAGCTGAGTGGGAAAAAAGGAAAAGTGCAGATTGATGATACAAGGGGGTAAATAAAGGGTTCAAAAACCTTACTTTAAACTTGAAGAAAAAATAAAAAGGGATGTTCCACCATGTCTACCATACACTGCCTCGGGATCATGGAAGTGGTGGCTGAAAAGGGAGAAAGGTGTAAAATTTTCCGGGAAATGTCACAAATCAGGTGGCAAAAGGCGGTTGGCATAAAAAGGGCTCCACATTGATATGGAGCCATAACTATTTTTTTTAACGTCGTTCTTTCAAGGGGTTTCCTTAACAGATATATCTATCTATCGATCTATCTATATATGTTCAATTGATGATTTTCTTTTAAATAGGATCTCATCCGCCTAACTCTCTATAATTATTTTTAGTCTCAGGTGAATTTCTTCTTTCATAAAAAAGGAGTAGACTTCAAGTTTGCTGATTTCATTATTGCCCTCTCTCCCTTCTAAATGAAATTTGAGAAAATAGTTGATATTTCACTGCATGAGGTTTTCTATGCTTAAATGACAAAAATTGGTCTATTAAATTTTTGTCGTAAAAAAAATAATTTTCTCAATTCTCTTTACTCTATATCTTTTCATCCTCACAAATCTAGAGAACCTAAAGTCTTATCTTTTGTGCCAGATGCAACAATGCATGTGGCTTTTTCCAAAAAGAAAAACCTTAAGCCCAAATATCTATTATTAGCATGGTATTTAAGCCTATGATACACTCTCAACAGCCATATTCCCATCTAATGTGAAACGTCTGAGCAGAAGTATTGAAGTTTCATTAGGAAGTTAAGAAGGTTGTTTCAGACTTCATTTAAGTTTTTGCTGTTATATGAAATTTATCTTTTAAAAGTTTTCTAACTAGTATTGGAGGCATTTGTGGTGGCTTGCTTTTCTGTTGTGCCTTGCGAGTTTTTCCTTTTTTCTACCCTTATTAGCCTCATGGTTTCTTTAGAAGGATTTCTTATCCTCTCTTAGTAGTGATCTGGTTTCACATTATGTAATGGCCTGGACTATGTGGTGTAGGCTTTTTCCTATTACCATTGAGGCGTGGGCTAGGATCTATGTATCAATTCCCACTCAATGGTTTTCTGGTTTTTTCAGAAACTAAGAATGGTAAAGCTTCAAGCTAGCCTGTGTTGTTCAGTATTCTTTGTTTTTGGACTAAAGAATGTCATTACTTTGATGTACCTCAATGCTCCTTACTTGTAGTATAATGGTCAACCCACTTGCCTTTTAGCCAGAAGGATTCCTCAAAAGTTTGAATTTTCTCCCCTCCCTCTATTTTTCCTAGAAGAGTCTGCAGTTGCAATTGCTAACATGAATTTATTGTTGATAGCAGTAGTCAAGGGATTTGATTGAAAGTTCTATCATTTTTAACACATGGGATTGTCTTGAAGGGGAAACGAAGTGAAATTATTCTAATGTCACCTTCATACTTTTGCTTTAGTAGATTTTTGCTGCTTGCAAATTTATCCTTTTCCTTGTTATTTTTTTTTTTTAATTCTGAATATTGTGAGGATGCTGAAGCTGTTTTGTTTAAAATTTTAAGACACCTTCAACATCTTTTGTTGCTCTATGTTCATACATCATTATTGTTTTTGTTATACAGTCAATATGCAACTAATTGTCTTATTTTTCGTTGGCCGTTTTGGTTGCAGAGAAGAGGTAGGGCTGGTCGTGTGCAGCCAGGAGAATGCTACCACCTTTACCCCAAATGTGTTTATGAAGCCTTTTCTGAATACCAACTCCCTGAACTACTGAGAACACCTTTAAACTCTCTTTGCTTGCAAATAAAAAGTTTGCAAGTCGAGAGCATAGGAGAGTTCTTATCTGCAGCTTTACAAGCACCAGAGCCACGAGCTGTAAGTACCATTGCTCTTCAGTTATAATGTATATTTCTATTAAATAAATTAAAAGTAAATCTTATAAAATGCTTGATGACTAAAAATATTGTTGGGATAGGAAAATTTAAAAGAAATTAATATTCTAGAAATTTATAAGAGTAATTTGGTTACTTAAAATTATAGTATTTCAAATTCTACCTAAAAAGTTAGAATTTAAAATTTTTTGTACTCTGTCTGTCAAATTTATGTCTCTCTCTTCATATTCTCTTCTTAGTTGGGGTGTTGTCAACTTGTTCTCGGTTAGGGTGTTGTTGGATTGGCAGAGGTTGTTTTACTCCAGGTGTAAAAGTTACTTAAATTACATATTTAACAACTTTTTGCACAAAACAAACTTAATCAATTCAACTCTTGAATTGTAGGATATTATCTTAAAGATCATGTATATAAATTTTCACATGTTTTTAAATATCATATGATATGTTAACATAAAGTGCTGTAATAAACTTCAAAAATAATTTTGAAATTGTGTATAAATGATCTACTTAATAAGAATGCAATTGTTGGATTAATTAAATTTACATTCTATGTGATTCTATTTTGTAACCAAATCAAATTACATTTTTTGACCTGTTTTGAGCTCGGGCAAAAGCAGAGTGCATCAATCCATTTTTAAATTTCGTGCAGTTTACATACATAAATTCATACATGTGCGTGTACATATTTGAGGCCTATAAATTGATGAGGCTGTTTCTAAATATATACTAAGCTTTTACAATTTAATGGAACAGGTTGAAAATGCTATTGGTTTTCTCAAGATGATTGGAGCATTAGATGAAAAAGAAAATCTTACAAATCTCGGTGAGTCTGTTTGTTCTTTCCTTTTTGATTGGTTTCTCATGTGCCTGTGAATATTTTCACGATTATAAATAATTCCTTTTTTGATACCATTTTGTTTCAATCAGGGAACTTTCTCTCTATGCTTCCTGTAGATCCCAAGCTGGGAAAAATGTTAATAATGGGAGCTATATTTCGATGCTTTGATCCTGTTCTTACAATTGTAGCTGGCCTTAGTGTCAGGGATCCTTTCCTTTTGCCCCAAGATAAGAAGGATGTAAGTTGGCTCATTACCTTTTCACACAATTGATTCTAACCTTTCCATGAATTTGGCTATGTAGCAAAACAATGAATGCAAACTTGTGCTTCAATATTTTATGATTAATTTTGGTAAATATTTCATGAGCCACTATTCGAAAAGGTTAAGTTTTTTGGTCTATACATGATGAATAATGTTATACTATATCTCTTGGTGTTTTAAGAGAAAAAACAGAGAAACAGAGAGGAAATAAAGAGCATATTGCAGCGGTTGTATATTGAATTGAAAGAGACTATTAAATACACAAAATGAACTAAAACGGTAGGAAATCAAATCGTATTTTAGGAAAGAATAAATTAGGAAATTTGTATATTTCCTTGTAATCTGTACAAATTTGAATAATTAAGAACAATCCCATAAATCAAGAGATCCTGGACTAAAATAGAATTATTATATTTCCTAAAATAGCTTAGGTCTCCTGTATATATCTTGTATGATCTATTTTGTTTTAAAAATATTAAAATTAGATTTCATTTAATCTAATTTTCTAGATAGTATCAGAGCCAAAACCTAACATCTTTCCGGTTATTATCTTAGACCAAGAGTTGCCCTTTCGTTTTGGGTCAAAAGTACTCTTTGCTTGGTCCGGCAGGCTTCGTTGGAGGGGGCATGTTGAAAATTGTTGAAAAGTCCCACATCACCTGCCTCATGTCATTTGGTATGGTTTAAATACATGTTAGGCTACTCCACATATTGTCAATTGGTTTTATGTTGGAATCTTAACATGGTATCAGAGCTTCCGATCTAGGAAGCTCTGTTTGCGCACTATAAACCCTAAGATGACAACCTGCATTATTGTTGCATTTTCTTAATCCTAAGATGACAGTCTGCATTGCTATTGCATCGTACCTTCTTGCTATAATATCAAGGGGTCTCATGTTAGAGAGTCCAGCAGTAGAGAACTCAACAATTGTGGCTGACGATAAAGGAGATCAGACTTTGGTCATGGTAGCCGAACAGAAGAAAGGAGGATCAACAAATGTGGAGAAGAAAGGTGATGGTCTCTGGTGTACCTACTGCAATAAGCCTCGTCATACCCGAGAGAAGTGCTGGAAGTTACATGGGAAACCTTTAAATTGAGACCGAGAAGGGGGACACAGAGGAGGCCCCTCAAGGAAAGGAGGACAAATTTATGTTGCTGCTAAAACAAATGAAGGAAATAATCAGAAGCTGCTACCCATCTTAACCAAGAGGAGATAGAAAGGGTGAGAACCTTTCTTAGTAAGTTGGAAAAACTTACATATGTGTGTTCTTTAGCATACTCAGGTAAGTTTCTACTTTCTTTTGGATTAAATGTCTCAGATATACCTTTTAATCATTATTGGATATTGGACTCTGGAGCCACAGACCACATGACACCATTAGCCAAACACTTCTCCACATATTCTCCATGTCCCAGTAACAAGAAAATTGCCACAGCAGATGGAACCCTTATAATTGTAGCTGGTCAAGAAAATATCTAAATCAATCCTTTAATAACCTTAAAAGATGCTCTTCATGCCCCAAAGTTGTCCACCAACCTAGTCTCTATACAAAAACTTATAAAGGATTTGTCATGTAAAGTTGTTTTTTTTCAAAGATCATGATGTATTTCAGGACAAGGATTCGGGGAGGATGATTGGACATGCAAGAGAATGGAATAACCTTTATTATCTTGAAGATCCAAGTCTGTCCAGCAAGAACAAAATCTCTCACTCCTTCATATCTGAATCCTTGATGACCAACAGAGAAAAAATCATGCTTTATCATTGTCGGTTGAGACATCCCTCTTTTGGAGTGATCAAAATTATGTTTCCCTCTCTGTTTACCAAGTTAGATGTTGAGAGTCTTCATTGTGAGGTGTGTGAACTTGCTAAGCACAAACGAGTATCTTTTCCAATAAGTAATAAAATTAGCAATTTTCCTTTTTATCTTGTTCATACTAATGTATGGGGACCTTCTAATGTTCCAAATGTGTCTGGTGCTTGATGGTTTATCACTTTTATAAATGATTGTACAAGGGTGTAGCCGCCGTCCCCCGCGATGGGGACAAAAAATGCGAGCGGTCATGATACGATGGCTGGAACTCACGTTTTCGTAAAATAATGTGGTCATCACTTTTAGGATGTTCGATAAACAAACTAACCTTAAAAATGAGGTTTTCGCAAAAATGAGTTCTATGGAGTCGCCACCAATGTTTTAACCAAAAACATTGAAAATGGAAAGAAAAAGGCATTGGTTAAAAAAAATCAACTTTGATCATTATAACCAGAGTCTGGGTAAGGGAGTTAGTTACGCATGGGGAAGACGTTAGCACCTCACAACGCCATTTTTGGGTTCCCTCGGAAAATAAAGATTTTAGAAATTACGCTATTACTCTATTTATTTACTTATTTGCAGTATTTATTTAAATATCTACATGGTCCTAATTTCTAATGCACACAAAGGAAAGCGATAAAAGATCAAGAGTTTGAGAAGAACCTCCGAAGCGAGCTTTTATAAATCTTTAAACTTGAGGACGTTTTTTGGCAGTTCCCTCCCACTACACAAACACTCCTCCCTCGAACAAAAAAAAAACTTAAACTACCGAGAGTCAGATGTCTCAAAGGAGACTTCCTTAACCGATTTTTGCCTAAATGGGCAATCGAAAAGATCACTCGGTGCCTAGAACTGTGTCTAGAGGTGTGTAGGTGTCTAAAAGTGTGGGAATGTGTGAGGACTGACGTCCTATTTATAGGCACGCTCACCCAGGAGGCTGGGACGACCGTCCCAGATTTTGTCAAGCGGGACGACCGTCTGGGATTTGGGACGGCCATCCCAAGCCACCAAGGAAGGTGGGACGGCCGTCCCAGGCCACCAAAGAGGGTGGGACGACCGTCTAGGATTCGGGACGGCTGTCTTGGGTCTTTTGACAAAATTTTTTATTTTTTTAATTCTTATTTTCTCTAAGAAAACTCTCCTTTTTTACATGGAGCCTAGTGAACACTACTAGGGGCCCTATGAAGCCTTGTCCATCTTTAAAACGGAGGATTTTTGAACTTTATTGTAAGGCTAGACAAGATTTGGGGTCTAAAAAGGGTCACTTGGGTTTTCCTACTTAAACAAAAATCAGAAGTCAATTCTGTCTTCCTAAACTTCCACTCCTTGATAAAAAATCAGTTTGGTGTTAATATTAAGAAGCTTAGGTCAGATAATGCCAAAGATTACTTCAATCATGTCCTTAATTCTTTTTGTCAAAAAGAAGACATAATTCATGAGTCCTCTTCTGTCAAAACATCACAGCAGAATGGGGTCGCAGAGAGGAAAAATGGATATCTATTAAATCAGACTCGAGCATTGTTGTTCCAAAAAAGTGTCCCAAAAAATTTCTGGGAGGAAGTTGTCCTTACAGTAACACACCTTATCAATAGACTATCCTCTAGAGTTTTAGGATCAAAAAGCCCTATGGAAGCTTTGTCTTCTTTCTATCCAAACCTGTCCACTACAAATAATCTTAAATCAAGAGTTTTTTGGTACATCTCATATGTCCATATTCATAATACAGACACGGGAAAACTTGATCTTAGAGCCTTAAAGTGTGTCTTTGTTGGTTACTCATCCACTCAGAAAGGGTATAAATGCTACCACCCCCCATCCAAAAAATTCTGTGTCTAGGGATGTTACCTTCAATGAACAAGAGGGCTATTTCCATCAACCTTATCTTCAGGGGGAGAGTTTCAGGGAAGATAAGGAAAATAGTAATTCTGGTTTTCCCATTCTTCCAGACTTGATATTTGAACCTAAACGAGATCAAGTTGAAGCTGTAACAAGTGAAACAAGTCAAGGAAGTGAAGTTGTTAAGGAATTGGTCAAGAAAAGGAAGTTGGTCAAGAAAGTGAAATTAATTGTGAAGTTGATCAAGGAGATGTTGAAGATGGAAAATTTGGTAAGAAGCTGGTGTACTCAAGGAAGACTAAGGTCATTCCAAGATCAAGCCATGTTCAAGAATCCAACTCGACTCCATAAAAAGAGGTAACAATTTTTTCTCCAGCTGTGCAGGTTGAAATTGAAACCCAAAATGATCCTGGCCTCCCAATTGCCATTAGAAAAGTAACAAGAAAATGCACCAAACAACCACTCTACCCTCTCTCAAATTACCTGTTCTTTAAAAATTTCTCTCCTACCCATAAAACCTTCCTAGTAAACCTAAACATTGCACTTCTACCTAATACCTTATCTGAAGCATTGTCTGACAGAAAATGGAGGCAAGCCATGGATGTAGAGATGGAGGCATTGGAGAAGAACAACACTTGGGAGTTAGTCACCTTACCAATATGAAAGAGGCCAGTTGGATGTAAGTGTGTCTATACAATGAAATACAAGGTTGATGGATCAATTGAGAGAGGCAAGACTAGTTGCCAAAGGGTTCACCCAAACCTATGGAAATGATTATTTGGAGACCTTTGCTTCGGTTGCCAAAATGAACACAGTTAGGGTGATATTGTCCCTTGTTGCCAATTATGGTTGGAACTTGGAACAATTTAATGTTAAGAATGCTTTCCTACATGGAGACCTTGGAGAAGAAATTTATATGGAGATACCTCCGGGATATGGTAGAGATGTTGTTGTCAACACTGTTTGCAAGTTGAAAAAGACATTATATGGGCTAAAACAGTCCCCCATGCATGGTTTGGAAAGTTTACTAAAGTTATGACAGGTTTGGGTTACAAACAAAGCCAAGGAGACCATACTTTGTGCTTTAAACATTCAAAGTCAGGGTGAGTAACAATATTATTGGTGTATGTGGATGACATAATATTAACTGGAGATAATAAATAAGAGCAGCAATTGTTGAGTCAATGCTTAGGCAAGGAATTTGAGATCAAGACCTTGGGAAAACTAAAATATTTTTTGGGAATTGAAGTTGTCCACTCCAAGAAAGGGATATTTATATCCCAACAAAAATGCATCACTGATTTGCTCAAGGAAATTGGCAAGGCAGCTTGCAAACCTGCTAGTACCCCATTAGAACCAAACCTAAAACTTGGAAATACAGAAGATGTTACTATTGAAAAAGATATGTACCAGCGATTAGTGGACAGACTTGTATATTTGTCGCATACCAGGCCAGATATTGCCTATGTAGTGAGTTTAATTAGTCAATTTATGCATAGCCCAAAGGAGATCCATTTACAAGCTGCCCACAGAATTTTTACAATACCTTAAAGGAACTCTAGGAAGAGGGATTCTATTCAAAAGGAATGGTAATGTGAAACTTGAAGCCTATACTGATGCTGATTATGCAGGGTCAATTGTAGATAGGAGGTCAACTATAAGATATTGCACATTTCTTAGAGGAAATCTTGTGACTTGGAGAAGCAAAAAGCAGGGTGTAGTGGCTCAGTCCAGTGCTGAAGCGGAATTCCGAGTCATGGCACAAGGTATATGTGAGTTGCTATGACTTAAAATCATCTTAGAAGACTTGAGGATAAAATGGGAAGAACCTATAAAGCTCTATTGTGATAATAAGCCAGCAATCAACATAGCCCACAACCCAATGCAACATGATAGAATAAAGCATATTGAAGTAGAGAGATACTTCATCAAAGAAAAGCTTGATAGTGGCTTGATATGCACTCCATATGTGTCCTCTCAAGACCAAATTGCAGACATTCTTACTAAGGGACTGGGCTGCCACAATTTTGAGAAGATTGTATCCAAGCTGGGAATGGAAAACACATATTCACCAGCTTGAGGGAGAGTGTGGAAAATCAAATAGTATTTTAGGAAAGAATAAATTAGGAAATATGTATATTTCCTTGTAATCTGTACAAATTTGAATAATTAGGAACAATCCCATAAATCAAGGGATCCCAGAATAAAATAAAGTTATTATATTTCCTAAAATAGTTTAGGTCTCCTGTATATATCTTGTATGATCTCTATATATTAAAAATAATAAAATTGGATTTCATTTAATCTAATTTTCCAGAAAAACTGCAAAGCAAAAAAATAAGAACTACATGGGTCACAATCCCATGTTTAACCACTCCTTACAATATCTAAGCCCACTACCTTGGCAAGTTTGTTTGAAAACAGTCAAACAATTTTTATTAAAACAAAATTAAATCAGCTAAATTTAATGAAGGACAGTTTCAATACTCCTCCTTACTTTGGTTGCTACAGACTCCAAGCTTTTCTCTAAGAAACTCAAACTTGCTCCTTGGTAAAGGCTTAGTGAATATATCAGGAAGTTGCAAATCAAATTTGCAATAAATCAAACTGATAGTTCCTTCCTTTTGCACTTCTCTGGTAAAAAATAATTTGATGTTGAAGTGCTTGGTTTTTATGTGAAAGACAGGATTGTTTGAAATAGAGATTGCAACTTGATTATCAACGAATAATTCAGTGCAATTCTCTTCTTTCATATTCAAATCTTCCAACACTTTCTTAACCATAAAGCTTGGTTTACAAAAAAACTAGCTGCAGTGAATTTAGCTTCTACTGTAGACTGTGCCACAGTATTTTGTTTTTTGCAGCACCATGAGAATGCACATGTTCCAAACAAGAAGCAATATCCTGAAGTGCTCTTTAAATCATCAAGAGAACCTCCCCAATCACTGTTAGAATATCCTTGCAATACATAATTTTGATTTGTGCAAAATTTAATTCCAAAATTTAAAGTTCCTTTCACGTACCTTAGGACTCTTTTAGCAGCAATAAGATGTGTTTCAGTTGCACAATTTGTAAATCTAGATAATAGACTTATAGAATATAAAATATCAGGTCTAGTAGCTGTTAAGTACAATAAGCAACCAACTAGACTTTTGTAAAGAGTTTCATCAACTGGTTCAACTTCATCACTTTTACTTAGCTTCACCTTCTAACACATTGGAGTATCTACACTCTTGCATTCATCCATTCTGAATTTTTTAGAATTTCCTTAGCATACTTCTTTTGACGGATGAATACTTTTCTACTTTTTTGCTTTATTTCCATTCCTAGAAAATAAGCCATTTCCCCCAAATCTATCATCTCAAGTTTTCTCCATATCTTCTTTGAATTTTCTCACAAGCTCTTCATTGCTTCCTGTAACCAACAAGTCATCCACATATAATGAGACAATAATGAAATTAATTTCATCACCTTTAATGTAGAGGGTTGCTTCATTAAGGCTTCTTTTGAAACCCAATTGCATCAAGTACTCATCAATTCTGCTGGACCATGCTCTTGGGTCTTGTTTTACGCCATACAAGGCCTTCTTGAGCAAAGTTTTCACAACAAAGCCTTCAGGTTGTTCAACATAAATCTCCTACTCCAGGAAACCATTTAAAAATGCTGACTTGACATCAAGTTGGTAAATTTTCCAACTCTTTTGTGCAGCTATAGCTAGCGGCAATCTAATTATATCTAATCTTGCAACAGGAGCGAAAGTGTCAAAAAAATCAACACCAAAAATTTGAGAATATCCCTTTACAACAAGCCTGGCTTTATGCTTGTTGATTGAGCCATCAGGATTTAACTTGGTTCTAAATACCCACTTCACACCAATTAATTTTCTATTTGTGGGTCTTCTCACCAACTTCCAGGTTTCATTTTTTTCAATCATTCAGAGTTCTTCTTTCATTGCTGTAATCCATTTTGGATCCTTTTCTACTTCCCAGAAATCTGTTGGTTCAAGAACAGCCACATTACACCTTTGATAAATATCGGAAAGTGATCTCATACCTCTAACTGGAAAGTCATCTACAATCTCATTTTCATCAAGTTGAGATTTTGAAATTTGATCAGGAAATTTAACAGCTTTCTTTTCATCACAATCCCACTCATCATTCTCCATGAAATGCACATCTCTACTTATCAACATTTTTCTTGTGTTTGGCTCGAAAATTCTGGAAGCTTTAGAAATTTAGAGGATATTGTATATCCTCCATTTATGTTTATTTATTCTATAGATCCATATAAACCTTACCCATGCTGAAATAAAGGTTAGTGTCGGACAGAGACACTGCAGACACTCTGAGGATTCAGTTACCTCCCTTCCAATTTGTACTAAACCCTTCTTCTATTCTCTCTTACAATCTGTTTCCTTCCCCCAACCTGCCTCATGTGCAGGTTGTCACAATGCCACTCCCTGGGCTGATTTCCAATTACATACCCTTTGTTCTACACAGGAGCCTTCAATCCCCACTACCCTTTCCCGTCTTTTTGCTTCAAGCTTAGTGGTCATTGCCTGTGTAGCATAGTGACAATTAACTATGGGATGCATTAAAAGGTGTGCTCACTACTGTTGATGGACTAAATTTGGACTTTCAGCTTAGAACTTGCAGATTTATTTTTAGTTGGTTGTGCATAAGCCAATATGGAATAGTTACCATCTCTCGCTAAACTTTATTTCCCTTTATCTTGGTATCTGATGTTGTGATTCCCATGTTCTACAATGGCAATACTTCGATATAATGGTGGGCCATATTAACTAGTCTTTGAACCTTTTCAGTTTTTTTGTAATATGGCAATTTCTTTCCTTATTGTCACAAGTATTGTTTGGACCAGAAAGATTTACACTTAAAATAATAATAATAATAGCTTTTGCCTTTGTTTTCAGTTAGCAGGGACAGCAAAGTCTAGGTTCTCTGCTAAAGATTACAGTGATCATATGGCTCTTGTTCGAGCGTATGAAGGATGGAAAGATGCAGAAAGAGAAGGATCGTCTTATGAATACTGCTGGAGAAATTTTCTCTCTGCCCAAACTCTTCAGGCTATTCATTCACTTCGGAAGCAGTTTAGCTTCATCTTGAAAGATGCTGGCTTGGTAGATGCAGATGCAAGCATGATTAACAAATTGAGTCACAATCAGTCTCTTGTGCGTGCAGTCATTTGTTCTGGACTCTTTCCTGGCATAGCATCAGTGGTGGTGAGCTATTTGTTTCTTATAATTTTTTTTGTTCCTTACAAGTTGTGCTTTCATTGGCTTATTTATTTAATTAATTCTTCCTCTGTACAGCACAGGGAGACATCCATGTCATTTAAAACAATGGATGATGGCCAGGTTTTATTATATGCTGTAAGTGACAGTCCAATTTAAATTTTTCCTATCACCTTGAACGAATAAATCCATCTGTTATAAATAATGGTTCATATTCAATGGAATATCCTTTTAGCAATGGACGAAACTTGGATATATTATGTTCCGATTACTGTTAGACTCCAATTAAATTTAAAATTTCGTCTTGGTAGCCGCCACCTTCATCTCGGTTACTTAAATCTTAGTAATTAATTCTGAGATGAAAAGCAATTTTAATTGGAAAATAGAACGAATAATACCTATGGTGTTATGTGTAAGTTTGTCCTTTTTCAGTCTAAATTGTTGTTGAACGAACATTGCTTTTAAGAAACCAATTTTTTTTTTTCATTTCCTGTTTTTAGTTTTTACATACAATTACAAAAAAGTCACCTTCTTGAAGGTGGTTTATGAGTTCAACCCTTCCCTGCCCCTTATTATTCTGTTCCCCTGATTGTTAGTTTTATCATTTTGACAAGAATTCAGTGAATGCACGTTACCAGACCATTCCTTACCCATGGTTGGTTTTTGGTGAGAAAGTTAAGGTCAATGCTGTTTTCATCCGTGATTCCACTGGTGTATCTGATTCAATACTTATACTTTTTGGTGGTGCTCTGAGTAATGGGATACAGGTGATTAGTAGTTAGTTGATTCACATGCTTCTTCCAATAGAGTATGTCCATGGATTTCAATACAGTAACATCATTCTTTTCTTTTCTTTTCTTTTCCCCGTTGATGGGTTTAGGCAGGGCATCTGAAAATGTTAGATGGATATGTTGACTTCTTCATGGATCCTAATTTAGCTGACTGCTATTTGAAGCTTAAGGAAGAGCTCAATAAGCTTATCCAGAAGAAGGTTAGTAGATATTGCTTCCTTGTAATAATATTCTTTGTTTACTTACCAAATAAGAGGTTTGTGCATGAGCTTTAACCTTTTTTAATAATGTTATTATTAGTTGAATTAATATAATCTTAATCTGTTATGGTGGTTCAAGATAAATTAAACGAAATGGGCTTGTACTAATGCAGCTTGAAGATCCTAACGTTGACATTCACAAGGAAGGGAAGTACTTGATGCTTGCTGTTCAGGAGCTGGTTTCAGGGGATCAATGTGAAGGAAGATTTGTTTTTGGCCGTGAAAGCAGGAAGCCCAAGGCCTCTAATGATGAAAACAAATTCACAAAAGATGGGACAAATCCCAAGAGCTTGCTGCAAACATTGTTGATGCGAGCAGGACACTCCCCACCAAAATACAAAACGAAACATCTCAAGACGAATGAGTTTAGGGCACTGGTGGAGTTTAAGGGAATGCAATTTGTTGGCAAACCAAAGAGAAACAAGCAACTTGCAGAAAGGGATGCTGCTATAGAGGCATTGGCTTGGTTGACTCACACTTCTGACAATAATCAGCATGAAGATGATAACTCTCCGCCTGATGTCACTGACAACATGCTAAAACTCCTAGGGAAGCGCAGAAAATCAAAGCGACGCCATGATTGATATGTCATCTATAGATGGTTTTGGGTTAGTTGATCCCATCCTTTTCGACTTGGATCAGTAGCGCAGCACCATGCAATTTGTTGCATGATTGTGAATGAAAGGGATTTAAGTGACATGTAATCTATACATGGATTTAGGTTAGTTCATCTCGGATTAGTAGCCCAGCACTATACAATTTAATGCACGATGGTGAAAGAAAGGGATTAAGGGACCTGGTATGAGTTCCAGCCAAGGATTTTTTTGAGTGGAACATAGTTTTTGTGATATTAGGCTCTTTGCTTTCTCATTTCCCCCCTTTTTGGAGGGATTGATATTGATTCAGGATAATATAGTTAATATAAGATGCACAGTCATGGCAGTTTTTTGGCGCTTAAAAGTTCATTGTATATTTAGCCCACCAAACGTTGGTATCATTGTATACCAATGTTTTATATGTTGACGTATATATATCTTGTGTCCAAGACCAAGATACATGAGATGTATTAGTTATTAGTTAGATGCATTTTCTTATGGCAGCACTCAATAAATCTATATTTTATATTATGGTGCATGTACTGGTATATTATTTCAAAGATGGTTAAGAAGAAGCCATTTGAAACATCTATTAATTCAAACCTTCCTTCCAACCTCCATATGGCTTAAAGCTTCTACTCTTGAGTAGTCCCAAATGTTAATGAAACAAAGTATAATCTATTTTATATTATTTCTCAAATAAAACTCAATGTTTTTTCAACAAACACAAGGTCTCCAATTAATTTCGTATGTTATAGTGTAAACAGCTAAAACTGTAACAATTATTCTGTAACAATTGTTCAACATTGAAGAAAAGAGAAGATAATATCCAGATCAGAATCATATTTCTCTTGTCACACTTGAGCAAAAACAAATTTAAGCAAATTTAGAGGATCAGAGAAAAAGACAGAGAAAATCAGAGAAGAATGATCATACCAACATTTCTCCTTTACTCCTGAAAGTCTCCCTTTATTCTTGAAATAAATAAATAAATATTCTTTTTCCTAATTTGTTTTGTTCTCCTCAATTTCAAAGGGTGTTGATCTTGTGTCATGTATGTTTATGTTGTAACAAATTCTGATTCCACGTTTCCATTTGCCACCTCATTACCCCTACTTGTTAGAATACCTTTTCGTTTAACAACAATCTTGTTCCCAAGGTTGACTCAATACACTTACATTCCATTGCACCAACACTTGTGATACCTGTTGTGAATCGTGTATCAACACCCTGGAATTTAGGAGTTTAAACGACTACAGGATAGGTCCCATTTTTGTAGTATTAAGGGGCAGAGGAAAATATGATTGAGGACAATTACCATAAAACTTCTTTAATAATGAAATATGAAAGATGAGGTGTATTCTAGCTGTATCCAAAAGTTTCAATTCAACTTATATGCCCCTGCACCAATGTGCTTAATCACTTTAAAGGGTCCAAAAAATACATTCCTAATTTCTTATTCTTCCGTAAGACCATAGAATATTGCCTACATGTTTGTAACTTAACCAAGGCATAATCTCCCATTTCTAACTGAAATTCTCTCCATTTTCTATCAGCGTGCAATTTCATGTAATTTTGGGCTTTGCACATATTGTTCTTTAGTTGCATAGATTGTTCTTTAGTTGTTGCAGAATTGTGTCTCTAGTTAATAATGATTCTTGCAATGGAAGAGGATCTTTGGAATCACATTGGTATAACACAAGTATAGGAGGATCTCAACCAAAAATGGCCTTAAATGGTGTCATGTGAATGCTATGGTGAAAAGATGTGTTCTTCCAAAATTGTGTCCATGGCAAGGTAGGATACCAATGCTTGGGATTATCAAAGACAAAACATTGTAAATACATTTTCACTATTTTGTTCAAGTTCTCAGTTTGACCATCACTTTGAAGGTGGTATGATGAACTCATGGCTAATGTTGTGTCTTGAGCTTTAAAGAGTTTTTGTCAAAAAGAACTCATAAATATTAGACAAATGACATTAAGAAGAGGGGTTGAATTGATGCTTTAAAAAATTTGTCTTGATGTTTATACTTTAATTTTTTTTTTCAATTTTATTAATTAAGTGCGTTACCGGAAACGTAAAATAAAAAGAGTAAAGGAAAAAAGAAATTCACATAGTAATTTATACTAGTTCAAATATAGTTAATCCTACATCCAGTTCTTAGTCACCTCAACATGAGAATGACAATCCCAATTCACTATCTTTAGAGTATTTTAATTACAACCACAATGACCTAATGAAACATGCAAAAGAAAAATTTTAAGGACTGATAAACACCTCTCTTGAGCCCTTTCAAGAGATGACAACATCTCCCTTGAATCACACAAGGGATGCAATACCTCCTCTGTACAAAACAAATGATGAAGATTAAAAAAATTGAAACATTGTCACCTGAAAAGTAAGAGTATAAAAGACGGAATGTTCAACTGTATTTTTGTGTTTTTAACTCAGTAGTAGTGTCTTGTCCTTTTTTTTTTTCTTTCTCAAAATTGGGTTATTATAAAAAAGTACTTGATTTTCCTTAAAAAAAATTAACTAATTCAAATAAAAAATATATTTGAAAACAATTTTTATTCTATGCAGAAAGGATAATTTTTAGGAGAAGATATAATCGGAGAATACTTGATTTAAAAAACAGTTTCAATTCAAAAGATATTGTTAATTTAAAAAAAATCAAATAAATTCGAAAATCAATTGTTATTCTCTGCAAAAAGAAGAATTTTTAGGAAAAGATATCGTTAGAGAATTCTTGATTTGAAAATCAGTTTCAATTCAAAAGATATTTTTATTTTTGAAAATCTGCAGTAACATAATTTAAATGTTTTAACCTTAATTAATTATATGCATAAAAAATGATTTCACTTGTGAAGAAAGATGATTTGGCTGATTATTCCTTGGCTAATTATTCCTCTTCTGTTTCCTCTTTATACAGAGAGACTTGACACCCTAGACACTATATCTTTATCTTGAGCTTCTCTTATTCTTGTAGAAGTTTTGCTTTAAAATCTTTAGCTTTAAAGGGGTATTGGTGACATCCTTTTTGCTAACAATAAACACCCCATCTCTATATGAAACAATGCTCTTAGGAAATCTATGAATTTTCACAATTGAATTGATGAAGAGTTCTACTACCATTTTACTATTGAACTCACTTATAAGAGGAATAAAATGAGTAAATTTGGACAACCTATCGAATATTACCATGATATTCAAATAACTATGAGAATTGGGTAGATTGGTGATGAAGTCCATAATAATGTCCTCCCATATTTATTGAGGTATCGATAATGGTTGCAGTAAACCGGATGGTAACACCTAATCCACCTTAGCTTGTTGACAAATGGTACAATTTCTCACAACATTTCTAATATCCTACTGCATCTTGGGCCAATAGGACTAAGAGGAAATCTTAACCATTGTTTTTGTTACACCATTGTGTCCTCCTACTTTGGAAGCATGAAATTCCTTCATAATTTGAAGTCTGAGCTCTCCTCCAAAAGGCAAAACTAATTTGTCCTTCCAAATCAATAAGCCATGGTGGCAAGTGTAATTTTGTACCCATAGGAGTTCCTTGTAAGCATTGCTTAAAGATTAAGACTAAATTTTCATCTTGTTGAATCCCATTGGCCACCTTTTGTAGCCACTCATTATTATATTCGGGCCAAGTCATAAGAAAGCTGCGAGATAATGCATTTGTAGGAATATTCTCTTATCCTGGTTAATATTAGATAGTAGAATCATAATTTTGACAACCGTTGTTGTTGTTGTTCCAGTGTTTGTAAATTTTGCTCAAGCAACTCCTTTAAGCTCTTTTGACATGTCCGAATAATGAATTTGTGTCCAAGAAGATAACGTCAAAAATTAGTTAATACTATTGTAATAGCATAAAATTCTCGAAACTGCCTTTGCATCTTAAAGGCAACTTCTTGGAAAAATAAGCCATAAGGTGTTGACAATGATAGAGGACAACTCTTATCCCCACTCCAAATGAATTTGTCTCAAGAATGAAAGGTCTCTTGATGTTAGGAATTGTCAACATTGGAGCTGAAGTTAGTGCATTTTTCAATTATTCAAATGCTTTTGTTGCCTCCCCATACCACTTAAAAGAATATTTCTTGAGTAACTCAGTTAAAGGTGCAACTCACATGGCATAATGCTTTATAAATCGTTGATAATATCCCGTAAGTCCCAAAAGTTCCCACGGTGTTTAATGATAATATGATGAGGCCACTCTTTTTATAGTAAGTAATTTGTTGTTATCCATGACCACTCCTTTTCCAGACAACACATGCCCCAAATATTCAATCTTTGTCATGCCAAAGGAACATTTGGAAAGCCTGACATATAATTGATGTTGCTGTAGCAATTTTAACATAGCTTCTAAGTGACATAAATGATCCTTCCAATTACAGTTGTACACAAGTATATCATCAAAAAACACCAACTCAAACCTTCTCAACATCCTTTTAAATATCTCATTCATCAAACTTTGAAGAGTATCTCGTGCATTAGTAAGCCCAAATGACATTACAAGTCATTCATAGGGCTCATGATGTGTTCTAAAGACTATTTTATATCTATCTTCAAGATTTAACAGAATTTGGTGGTAACTAGATCTTAAATCTAATTTAGAAAAATTATGGCTCCATAACTCATCAATCAATTCATCAACTATAAGAATAGAAAAAATATTATTGATTGTGATTGCATTTAAGGCTCTATAATATATAGAAACTTGACACATATCACCTTTTTTACTAATATGATTGGAGAAGAAAAATGACTTCTACTTATTGGATGATACCCTCTTGTGACACCTGCACTAATATCTCGATTTCTTCCTTTTGGTTATGAAGATAATGATAAGTTTTTACTTTGACAAGAACCGATCTTTCACCCAATGGAATAACGTGATCATGAGTTCTATGAGGTGGTAAAGAAGTAGATGTTCTAAAAATTGAACTAAAAATATTAAGTAACAATCCATGTTATCTGACGGTTCCAACAATGACGCTTAAGGAAAATAGATTCCACCACTTGTATACAAAAGATTTCTTCTATAGAATAAGTATGAATCCTTCGTCTGATGTGATAAAGATGCACTTGTGAAGGAATTTGGCTAACATCTCCCTATAAAGTAATAAATAATTGTCCCTGATGTAGAAACTTTAAATGCAAGGACTCATAATTCGTTACGTGAGGACTAATAATCTTCAACCAACTTGCCCCCAAAATTAAATTAATACTAGATATGGGAAGCACATAAACTAGCACTGTGATAGGTATGATTAAAAGGGCCCTTTTCAAGTAAGAGCAAAATCCACTAAGAAAGAAAGAATTTATGGATTTAATTCTCCCCTCTTTTGCATTCACTGTTTCAATACAAATAACATGCTAAAGTTGTTATCGTCGTACACGGATTACATGACACGTATAAAACTGAAATCAAAACAGAATAAGAAATAAACGAAAACAATTTAGAGTTGAAATCCTCTAAGCCATGTTGGTTTCTTTCTTTCACGTTTTGGCTATCCACATGGGTTTCCTTCTGATAATTGGGCTCACACTCATTACTTGTCTCCTAGCCCAACTTTGGAGTTGTATCAATACCCTGCCCTTCAAGAGTGACCTTGTCCTCGAGGTCCAAATCTGGATAAGCCTCTTTGATAACTTTTGTTGATTCCCAACTCGCGTCAGTCTCTGGAGTACCATCCCAATGTACAAGCACTTGGGAATGTGGGCCATCTTCTCCTTTAATAGTGCGAAACCCCAAAATCTGTCGGGGAGTGAGAAGAGCACGCTGAGATGTCATTGTTGCAGGCAGGGGAGATACTTTGAATGGTGGTTGACCATGACAAGGGCAAAGCTTGGAGACGTGAAATACACGATGGACTCAGAAAGACTCTGGCAAGTCTAGCTCGTAGGCGACTTTTCCCACGGACCGCAAGATAAAAAAATGACCATAAAAACGAGGAGCAAGCTTCCGATAAGGCCTTCTTTGAATGGAGGTTTGTCGATAGGGTTTCAAACGTATATACGCCCACTCTCCTGTATGAAATATGCGATTTTGTCGGTGATTATTGGCCAATGACCTCATTCTCTGTTGAGCCTTGACGAGGTTCTCGCGCACTATTCGCATGGTGATCTTTCTTTGCATCAAGAGTTACTCAACACCAGCTATTGTTGCAAAACCAACAAGGTATGTGTGCATACTCGAAGGTTTACGCCCATACAAAACTTCAAATGGGGTAAACTTTGAGGGAAGAATGAAAAGATGTGTTATACCAATATTCTGCCGAGGCTAAGCAGCAAGGCCAGTGGAGTGGCTCATCACCCACCACACAGCGCAGGTAGGATTCCAAGGTGCGGTTGACGACTTCTGATTGCCCATCTGTCTCTGGGTGATAGGAGCTATTGTAATTTAATTTTGTACCACTAAGTTTGAAAATCTCTTGCCAGAATTTGCTTACAAAAATGCGGTCTCGGTCACTGACAATGGTGCAGGGCATGTCATGCAATCGATGTATTTCTTGTAAAAATATGGGAGCAATTGTGGTTGCAGTGGATCGGGGGGGAAGACCGATGAAGTGGGCATACTTCGTGAGGCGATCGACTACCACCCAAATGATTGATTTGCCACCAGAAAAGGGCAGGTGGGTGATGAAGTTCATGGATATGTCCTCCCACACCTGAGAAGGAACCATAAGGGGTTGGAGAAGGCCGAATGGTCGTTGTGTGGAGTATTTATGTTGCTGGCAAGTGTGACAACTTTGAATAAAGGCTGCACATCATCCTTCAAATGGGGCCATGCAAAAGAAGTTGCCACTCTAGCTAAAGTGCCCTGAATTCCTAAGTGGCCTCCTACGAGTGTATCATAAAGTTTCATCAATATTTCATTCTTTAATTGTGTTTCCTCCGGGATGAAGATACGCCCCTTGAATTTGAGTACCCCTTGCTGCCAACTATAGACTGAGTGTGATAGTTCTATCAAAAATTCTTTTACCCACTCTTGACCATCTGGATGTGAAACATAAAACTCACGTAAGCGATCAAGGAGTGTAGGTGTACAACTAGAGATGGCCCAGAATGGGGGGTTTGAAGAGTGTTCCCTGCAGGAAAGGGCATCAACTACCAAATTTTCCTTGCCTAGTGTGTAAAAAAATTTGTAGTCAAAACCCACTAACTTAGATAACCACTTGAGTCATGAGCCCCCTCAAACTCTTTTGATCAGTGTAGATTCTGAGCTTCCGGCCCAACAAATATTGTTGCCATTTTTGTTGTACTGACTCAGTGATAACATACATTTCTCTTTCGTAAGTGAAAGCGAGACGCATCTTAGCTCCCATCTTCTTGCTAAAGTAAGCAAGCGGGTGGCCTTCCTGAGACAAAACCTCCCAATGGCAATGGTAGAGGCGTCAGTGGTTACATCAAAGGGAATGTTAAAGTTTGGAAGACCGAAAATAGGAAGGGTGGTCATATGCTGTTTAAGGGCCTAAAAGGAATCTTGGGCCTCGAGAGTCGAAACAAAGTGCTTCTTTTTTAATAATTCAGTCATGGGGCTGGCAATAGTAGCATAGTGATGAACAAGTCTACGGTAGTATCCCGTGAGGCCTAAGAACCCACGTAGAGTCGAGATGTCATGAGGAATTGGCCAGTGATAATATGACCAAATAATCCACCTCATGAACTCCGAATATGCACTTGGATTCCTTGGCATAAAAATGATTAGAATGTAATAGGTCTAATACAATACGTAAGTGAAATAAATGAGTTGCCCAGTCACTGCTATAAACCAAAATATCATAAAAAAACACCAAGACAAACTTACCCAAATGTTGGCGAAACAAATCGAAATGGCCATCCACAGTGCGAAATGTCGTCTTGTGTGTGTCTTCACTAGCCCATCTGATTTGGTGATACCCAGATCACAAATCAATTTTAGAAAAGACACTAGCCCGGAAAAATCATCAAACATTTCATCGACAGTAAGAATTGGAAATTTTTCTTTGATGGTAATTAAATTAAGTGCCCGATAATCCACACAAAACCTGCATGACCCATCTTTTTTTTTTTAACAAGCAACATTGGTGAAGAATAAGAGCTAGTACTTGGTGTAATTATGCCATCCTTGAGCATCTCATTGATCATTTGAGTAATGAGTTCGCGTTGAAAATATGGGTATTGATAAGGCTTAACATTCACTGGTTGCGACCCTGATTCCAAATGCACATGATGCACTCTGTCACGAATAGGTGGTAGCCCATGGGGTGTTATGAACACCTCGGAAGCTGTGTGCAGTAAAGCCTGCAAATCAGGACCAGATGGAGAATGTTTGGTGGGTGCCTTATCATCACAAACTGGTTGTACTGTCATTGCCATAATTTCAAAGGTTGATTCTGTGACAAAAAACCTACAAAATTGTGAATAGGTAGTGAAGGTGGGATTAATAGCGTTTTCACCCACTATGGTAATGGTTTTATGTAGTAAATGAAATTGAATGGATGGAATGGAGTAATCTGAGAGAAAAAGGCCTAATGTTTGGAGCCACTAGACACCAAGAACCAAGTCTGCACCATGTATGGGTAACACATAGAAAGAAATATCAAATGTGTGTGATGCCATCTGTACAGAGCAAAATTCGGAACATTGAATAGCTTCACCATTTCCCACCAATACTGAAAAGGGTTGCATAGTATTGTGAGAACTCCCCGAGTCAATTAGCACGGTGACGCAGTATTCCCATATTTTTCCAGTCACACGTAAGGTCCTAGGAGATGGTGGACCAGAGAAGGCTGCGAGGGACAACTGAAATTGGTTATGTTCTAAACTAAAAGGTTCTTCCTCAACCCCTGGGGTGCCTCTTCCTCCACAAATGAAGAACCCAAGTCGAGACATCCTTGCGGGAGAGTCTCATGCTTCAAGAGAAGAAACTGTTTGGCTGGACACCAGTGTCCCGACCCATATTTAGCATCACAAATAAAGCAAAGACCCTTAGAGTATCGTTCTTGCATTTCTGCTAACGTCAGTCGTTTTGGAGTGTTCCCGAGATCTCGCGGTGGAATCTCCTTCGGAACAAAGGTAGTGGGACGAAACGATCGTGATGGGGAGCGAACACTATCACGAAATTTATCTTCAAGTAACTTTGAAAGGCCAATGACTTGAGACAACGAATGAGGATGGAGGACAACTAATTCTCGTTGGATCTCATCTTTTAACCCTGAAATGAAACAATTCAACAATAATGCTGGGGTCATTCCCAACACACAATTAGCTAACATTTCAAATTGCGTTTGATATTCCATGACGGTCCCTGTTTGGCGGAGCTTGAACAGGGAGGCTTGGTGATTGTTGTAGGACGAGGGACCAAAGCGGAGTTCTAACACTAGAACAAACGCATCCCACGTGGTGATCTGATTATTCCTGTGCATCCATTGATACCAAGCTAAAGCACGACCTTGCATGAAGAAGGGCAACAAGGGAAGGCGTTGGGTAGGCCCTGTTTGTGTTAAAGAAAAGTACTGTTCCGCTTGAAATACCCATTCCAAGGGTTCTGTGCCATCAAAACTTGGGAGGGTGATCTTTGGTGGGCGAGGTTGAAATGCATGTGGTGAAGGCCCACGAGGTAAATGATGAATGTGCTCACGTAGGTCTGAAACTTCTGCGGCTACGGAAGCAAACTGTTGTTGCATTTCTGCAAACCTATTTAAGCATTGGACAAGTAGTTCATCATTAGCCTTCTCGGATTTACAGCTAGTCTCCACCTTGGGCATGGTACAACAATGAAAGCACCAAAGATGATAGGTATGATTAAAAGGGCTCTTTTCGAGTAAGAGAAACTCCATTAAGAAAGAAAGAATTTCTGGATTTAATTCTCCCCTCTTTTGCATTCACTGTTTCGATACAAATAACATGCTAAAGTTGTTACTGTCGTACACGGATCACATGACACGTATAAAACTGAAATCAAAACAGAATGGGAAATAAATGAAAACAATTTAGAGCTGAAGTCCTCTAAGCCCAACTTTGGAGTTGTATCACACTGTGAAAGTACTTCCTTGCATGTAAATAAGTAAATCTTTAATCAAACTCTCTGCAGTCATATAACTCCCATTACTTACCATCACTCGAAATGCAGGAGCAGGTTGAACATCTAATTTTAAAAACTTTGCTATTTGTGGTTGGATAAAATTGTCTGGATTCCCTCCATCAACTAACACTCTAATAGGTAAATTGTTAACTAGTGCATGAAAACGGATAGTACCAACTCCCAACCCACCTTTAAACGTATTTAAGGATAAATGATCATCAATCTCAATACTTTTACTTAAATCCTGGATGAATACCGTATGCTCCTTATTCACCAACAATTCATTGTCCACCTCATCTTCCTCACCTTGTAACATCAACATTTTCCTGATTAAAAGTGAACTTGTCATCACAAAAATAGCACAAGCCTTTTTTCTTCGCAATTGCATCTCAACCAGAGATATCTTCTTTAGAGGGGTAGGTCTAAGAGGCTTAGCAAGAGGTGTAGGCAACAATGGAGGTAAGGAAGCTTTAGATGAATTTTGCTTCACTGAAACAACACTACTACTATACGAAGTGATAGGACAATACTATTGAGTATAATTTGAACTCCTTGACTACCTCACTGGTGTCTATTTCTTCTCATAATTTGACTAGTGCCACTGCCCGTAATAAAGTCGGTGGACATTACACAATCACATCTCAACAAATATCTTTGTTCAAGACACTTATAAAGCATTTTAATAAAGCCTCAATAGAAAGTCTAGAGGATCTATTAGCCAATGCCATAAATCGGAGATAATACTCCGAAACACTACCTGATTGTTGCAGTTTAAACAACTCCTGTGTTAGGCTTAGGCAATCAAATAAAGACGTACTAAACTAAAATTCCAATTTTGTAGTAAGTTCAGTCCAAGATTGAATCCCATTCAGTCTATGCAACGTTTGAAACACGGAATCACGTCTTTTTCAAAATGAATAGTTGCAATATCCACTCTCTCTGCATGCTACGTTTGTGGTAGTTAAAAAAACTTTTCAGCTTTAAAAATCCATTCAAGCACCATATTAGTTCCATCAAAATGTGGGAACCCAGCAAAATATCATTCACGTGAAATGCAGAATCCCTATTTGAGTAAGTAGCAAAGGATTGAGAATGATTATGAATCAACAAATAAAAACTTTCTACATCTGGTCCAAACGGTCAATCATGGTTGTTTGCAACTGAGTTGGAACTTTTTGTTGGGCAATATTGTGGTCATGTGCTCATCAATCTCCTAAGTTCTTCACCTTGATACGGAACTTGATTCTGCAAGTCCTTCGTATGTATTCTCAATTATTTGACGTTTGACGTTAATGAGAACACCAATGAAACAGAGGATAATATTTTTTATATTATTTCTCAAATAAAACTCAATATTCTTTCAACAAAACAAGGTCAGCAATTAATTTCGTATGCTATAGTGTAAACAACTAAAACTGCTTCTTCTCTGGCACAAAAGAAAAGAGAAGGTAATATCTATATCACAATCATGTTCCTCCAATCACACCTGAGGAGAAGCAGATTTAGAGGATCCGAGAAAAAAAAATTGAAGATAAAGAGAGAACACTGAGAGAAAATCAAAGAAGAATGTTCATACTGACATGTCCCCTTTGCTCCTAAAAGTCTCGTAAATAAATATTCAATTCCCAAGGTGTTACACATAACCACCAACATTTCTTCCATGACTGAGAAACTTGATCAAAGACTGCGGTGCAATAACCTTACAACCTATCTCCCTCCTCGTAATCCAACATCTTAGTGCTTTTTGGTGAGAAGTGTTCGAACCAATGTAGTGAAGACAAACTCCCTACGACCAATTCATTTTTATTGAATGAATTTTATTTAATACACACAATTAAAATTAGATTATGAATTTTAAACTTGATTTTCGTTCGAATCCAATTCGACTGCATAATAAATACATGAAAATTATTTTCTTTTATCTCATAGTTTGACTATAAAAATAAAATTATATTTTATAATGTGAATATTACTTATATATATATATATATTATAATTTTATATATATTTTAAATTTATTTTGAGATTTTTTGTAATGAATAGTTATTTTTTTTAATTATTCAATTCAACGATGCAATATAATTGAATTATAATTAGAATGGAAATAAATAAACTAAATGTAATTAAATAAAACAAAAATTAGATTAAAGTCCAATTAGGATACCTATTCAATCCACGTGAATGCCACACGAAGACGCGTGGCGTGCGAAGTGGCCAAGCGCGTGGAGTTAACCTCCAACGTTAAGCATAGCCGAATAATCTTTTATGCTTAACTAACTTCCTTTTCCTATTTTCATTCCCATTTAGCATAAAATCAATGGCTGCCACCACCACTCTCTCCTTCAACTTCCCATATTCAACGCTCTCTTCGGAATCTAAACTTTCGCTCTCTTCACCTTCCCAATTCAAACCCTACACTGTTGCTTCCCGCCAGAATGTCTGCATCTCCACCACCGCCACGCTCTCTGTCTCCGCTTTCAGAAACCCAACCTCCCCAATGTTTCTCGCAACGGCTTCTCGGAACGCCGAGCCCATGCTCCCTCCTTTCAACGTTTTGATTACTGGCTCAACCAAAGGTTAATACAATACGCTCTTACACTATCAATTAGGATAAAAAAATAGACTTTGTCTGAAAGAAGAACTTTTGAATTTAGCGAACTTATGATTTTATTTAATTTTCTATATTTTCAAATGTTTTAATTGGATAAATCAATTTATGTTTTGTAAATTTTTAGTCCAAATAAACTAGTTTAATTTATACAGGATAAAAAATGAATAAATATTTAAAATTTAAATATTATATTAATGAGTTTTAAATAATTAATATGAAAAAAAGAAAGAATGTCATAATGTGAAAAAGGAGAAAGTATGAATTAATTTCTCTGAAAAAAATAAAATTATCTCTAAAAATTGTTTATTCAAACACAACATTAGAGTCCACAATAATTGGACATTCTTCTCTCTTCTTTTTGTTAAAATGTATTTCAGGTACTATTTATTCAATCAGCCAAAAGATATCTGACTCATGTATATTCAATTTTCTTAATTTATCATTGTTTCAATTTAAAAATAACCTCATATCATAATATTAAATTATTCTTAATAAAATTTAAATATAAATACTATTTTGTATTACTATTTTTAAAATTTTTACTTCGAGTATATGTTCTATTACTTGATAATGTAAGTAACTCGATTAGAGGAAATGATGTTCTGTTACTTGGTAAATGTAACTACATTGCTACTTGCTTCCAGTTAAGAATTCAGCCGAAAATATAGTTTTATTGGACTTCTATTTTGAATTTCGAATGAATTGAAGAGATACAAATGAATTGGAGCTTGGCTAAGTAGACTGTGTTTGTCTCGCAAGTACATACAACCACATCACAATTTATACTATTTAGATAGTATCTAACTTATTTTCTGTCCGTGAGTTATATATGATATGATATGATTCAGGAATAGGGTATGCGTTGGCGAAAGAGTTTTTAAAAGCTGGTGACAACGTCCTGATTTGCTCAAGATCAGGTGTGCAGAAATTCTTGGTGTGTCAATATGTTTCATCCATGCATTTTGTTTATTTTGTGATTTTATATACCTTTTCAATGTCTATCCAATTTTTATCACTAATGTCTTTGTTGAGAAATTTAATATAACTGTTGATTCAATGGTGATCACTTGTTTTTTTTTTTTTTTTCCACTTAGTTCCTTTATATTATGTTTGTAGAATATGCAAGTAATGCGTAGTAATACTTATTCAACTCTAGTCATAATTTAATTTTTCTCTTTAGCTCTTGGAGATGGAACATTAGAGTAAATCCGTTGTTTTCTTACATTACTTTTAAGATATTTGTTGCGTCAGATAATCTTTTATGGATATTTGATTCCTTTCTATTAGTGTTAGTCTCTGTTATTTGTGCTTAATTTATGTTACAACTAATGTCTGAATGCGGGGGATTTTACAGTCTTATTTATCTGATTTTGATCTAATAGATGAAAGGGTAGAGAGTGCTGTCCAGAGCTTGAGAGTAGAATTTGGGGAGCAGTATGTGTGGGTACCTCCTCTTAAACTTCTTTGTTAATACGTCTAAGATAAATACATAGTTGGTTTGCATGTGTGCTCTCATATACATGCTTTGTGTTGTGCAGGGAACTAAATGCGATGTGAGAATTGCAGAGGATGTGAAGAATTTAGTTTCATTTGCTCAAGAAAAACTGAAATACATTGATATATGGGTATTATTATCTGATTTCTTTTCCTGTTGTGATTTTTTATCTTTACATGTATTTGTGGGAAATATTTGTTAAGATTTAATTTTAATTAATTCTTATTATTGAAGTCATGGTCTGACCAACTATGTAAGCTGCTGTCAATTATAATTGTGACAAAAGAAATGATTTTTAAACTACTTTCTGTAGTGCCAGATATCATATGATGATAAGTTCAATTACATTATAACATGTTCTTCCCGGATCCTTTTTTGTGAAGTGTTATGTTTTTTGTTTTCTGCAAATGAACAATTTCGATTGCAGTTATATCTGCAAATTAAAGAATTAATAGTGGTTTGCATAGCAATCTGGAACTGTGTTAACTTCAAGAAAAGATTGCTCAAGCACGCAGTTTATATATAACTTGAATTTTAGCAAATGGCTTAATTACATGTGTTTTCTTGTTTTTCAGTTTGCTCATGTTAGACTCTTTGGAGTCAAAATACAACACTTTTAGATAGCATTTGACAAATAGGCTTTGTAGAATTCTTTGACTATTTTGTTTTATACATTTCATTTACTGTCGGCTGTCATTTACACCTAGCAACAAGCATTTCACTTCGACGCTCCTCCTTAGAGGAATACTGTTTTTTTTTTTTTTTGTCAATTTTATTATTAATTCCATACTTTCATTCAATATATTTGGTATAAATATACTATTTGTATTTTTTTCTCACTTTATTTTGAGAATTGTGCAGATCAACAATGCTGGATCAAATGCATATTGCTATAAGCCACTTGTTGAGGCATCAGATGAGGATCTTATGTGAGCTTCAATGCACCTTTTACCCTAAATGTAAAATTTTTAAATAATAACATTTTTAAAAAAATTTATTCTTTGTTTGCAGTGAGGTGGTTACAACAAATACCCTTGGCTTGATGATATGTTGTCGAGAGGTAAAATTCTCATCTTAGAGGCACTATGGGATATGAACAAAGTGGGCGCTCTATTAAGGATAGATATTTAGTTTCCATTTAGGCAATCAAGATGATGGTGAACCAGCCTCGTGGAGGTCATATTTTCAATATTGATGGAGCAGGTTCAGATGGCAGACCAACTCCACGGTACTTTTTTTGGCTTTACTGTAGTCTTTCCTTCATTGTTTTGGTGCAATTTTCTGCTTATACTGTTAAAAAGTTTCTGTTTATTAAATACAGCCAGCCAAATTAGGCATGGTTTCTTATTGATGCATACTTCTTCCTGTGTTCTATAAATCTAGAAAGGGTCACTTCTATAGTGATCTCTAAGGGCATAAGTCCTGTATGATTTAGTTAGCAACATGACAAAAATAATTGATGATGCTCAATAATGATTAATTACTTGTCATTGACATACTAAACCAGTTCTTGTTAACCATTTGGTAAATCATACTGCAGTCTCACTCAGTCACATTTAGTTAATTATAGTTTCTTTACTTTAATAATTCTTATAATCTCTCAATACCTGCAAAGACAGCAAAGCCTAGTAGTTGGCATATCTTCGGTGTCAATTGAAGTTAGTTTTTGGATGAAATCCAAAAAATCACCACAGATTCCACTTGAAATCATAACCTTAGTCAGCATACAAAATTATCACTAGTCCTGCGTGATGTTGAAAATTCATGAATTCTACCTTTATTTCTTAGGTTTGCTGCATATGGAGCAACAAAGAGAAGTGTGGTGCACTTAACAAAGTCATTACAGGTTAATGTTTTGCATTTTAAAATTCTTATTTCTGCTAATATACTTTCTAGTCATTTCCTGTCCATGTGTGTTCTATTACTTAAAAGTTTTGAAAACTTCTACCTAAAATTGTTTTATATGTCATTCTCTAAATATTTTGACAAGATAGGATTAGTAGCAAGGATAAGAATGATGAGTGGACATGATAGGCAAGATAGAATTAGAAAATAATGCATGAGAGAAAGTTTGCAGCACTTCTTGTAGAAATCTTTCCTTAAGTTGTTTGAGCTTGTGGAATCCCAAGTCAAGATTGCAACTAAGAAAACTATAGCTGAAACCTTCAAGTAGGATTTAGAGGTCAACAATTCATCTTTGAAGGTTATTAAATAGATGAACCCCACTTCATTGAAAAGTCTTAGATGTTGTTGTCATTCTCTTAATTCTTGGTGTTAAAAAAGGAATGAGCATATCACATAATATTGCTGAATAACAGTGAAGCACCGACACGGCTCCCCTCACCTGATGTGAATCACAAGGGGTGATTTAAAATCTTTAGGGTTAGAACCTTGTAAGAAATTTAGGAATTTAGTGATAAGGTGGAAGGAAATAATCACTCTTCCCAAGGAAAGCAACTCACAAAGGATGTGAAAGTCCTTTGATACAGCCAAGGGTTCTTGAATCACTCAAGAATTTAGGAGAATCACTCTCACTAATATAAAAGAGATAAACTCTAATATTTCTGAATAAAATTCTACTTGTTATTTTTGATAAAAATGGTTCAGCCTATATAGAAGCTTTGCCATCAGAATTACAAAGATTCAATAAAGGAAAATAAATGTTAATAATGATTCATTAACCTAGGAATTGAAAACTACTTAATGAAGACAAATGAAGGCTAATAATAATCCATTAACCTAGGAATTGATACTACTTAATGACTGATTGTAGCTGAAATTGTGGCAACCAAAATTCAATCAGCTATACACCCTCTTGGTCTCCAAAAACTGATACTAAATTTCTAATTGGGCCCTTAATACAACTTGCAATAAAATCAAACTAAAGTCCATTAATTGATTAATCCAAAACACAATTTGGTCAACCAACAGTACTTGTTGAAGAGCTTCATTTACTTCCCTTACTCTGGCCCTTGTCATAGGTCTTGTTCACATCACCTATGTCGAAGTGTTGCACGCGAGTCAAACACCGACACCGTCACCGTCACGACACGTTGAAAATGCGTGTCCGGCTCCTTTTTGCACTGTCCACAAGACCAAAAATGCGTCGCGGGGCTTCAAGTCTTGGTGGACACGGCGTGACCCAGATCCAACACAACTCCGACTCGGCGGTGATGGCAAGGTATAGTTTTTATAAAAAAAATAAAAATAAAAATTTAATAAAAAAATGTAATTTTTTCCGTTTACATTCTTTTTTCTCCCGCTTTCCTTCCTTCCTCTGCACGTTTCCATTTCTGCTCCAAAGGCTTTCCTTTTGCCATTGTAAAGATTTTTCCTTTTCTCCTTCTTTGTTTGCTTCCACTTACTTTCTTCTGTTGCGTGCTGTGTTTTCTTCTGTTGCATGCTGTTGTGTTTTCTTCCATTGCATCGTACTCTGTTTTCTTTAGCTGCATCCTGCTGTGATTTCTTCCGTTGTATCGTGCTCTATTTTCTTCTGTTGCGTCGTGCTCTATTTTCTTCCGCTGCTTCATGGTATACTGGTCTGTTTTCTTTCGTTGTGTCGTGCTTTGTTTTCTTCCACTGTTCATTGAAGCTTTGTTGTTCATTTTGCTCTGTTTTGCTCTCTGCCGTTTAAGTCTTCATTGTTGTTCAGGTATTCCACTGCGTCATGCTTTGTTTTGTTGTCCACTGTTTAGGTATTCATTTTGCTCTGTTTTCCTTTATAATGTTTCATTTTTTTATTAGAATGCGATAGTTATGGAATTATGAACATAGAAAAATCATATGTTATTGGTTCATTTTTGTAGAAATGAGAAATTCTAGTCAGCCTTTACAAGATGATGATATCAAACCCCTATGGAATTATGTTACAAAGATAAAAAGTGTTGGTGGAGGTGGTGGAAATTATGAAGTAAAATGCAATATTTGTGACCTTACTTTCAATGGATCTTATACTAGAGTGAGAGCACATTTGTTGAAGATTACGGGAAAGGGAGTTAGAGGTTGTCAAAAAATAACACCCTTGAAGCTTGGTGAACTAACAAAGCTAGACAATGAAGCTACATTGAAGATAAAAAGTTCTAAGGCAAAATTTGTCCCTTTGCCTCCAGTTTCTAATGAATCATCCATGGACAACAATGATGGTGTTGATCTCAAAAAAAAGAAAACATCCGGACAACTAGATAAAACTTTCAATATGCAAGCTAGAGAGACATTAGACTATGAAATTGCTAGGATGTTTTACTCATCGCGATTGTCATTTCATTTAGCAAGAAATCCTTATTATAGGAGAGCTTTTCTTTTGCTGCCAATAATTATGTAAGTGGATATCAACCACTAGGTTATAATAAGTTGAGAACAAGTTTGCTTGCTAATGAAAGAAGACATGTAGAGAAGCTTTGGAGCTGATAAAAAATACATGGAGTCAAAAAAGTATTAGCATTGTTAGTGATGGGTGGAGTGATCCCCAAAGAAGACCTCTCATTAATTTCATGGTTGTTACAAAGAGTGGACCTATGTTTTTGAAGGCTATAGAATGCTCTGATGAGATTAAAGACAAAGATTTTATAGCCAAACAAATGAGAGATGTAATTATGGAAGTTGGACCTTCAAATGTGGTGCAAATTGTGACTGATAATGCACCTGTATGTAAGGCCGCAGGTTTAATGACTGAAGCTGATTTTCCTTGTATTTATTGGACCCCTTGCATTGTACATACTCTAAATCTTGTTTTGAAAAATATATGTGCAGCAAAGAACACAGAAAAAAAAACAATATTGCTTATCAAGAATGTTCTTGGATCACAAATGTAGGAGAAGATGCTATGTTAAAAAAAAATTTATCATGGGTCACTCAATGAGGTTATCTATTTTCAACTCATTAAAGTTGTTTTCCGTTGCTCCAACAAGATTTGCTTCTACTATAGTCATGCTTAAGAGATTTAAGCATTTGAAAAAAGGACTCCAAGAGATGGTTATTAGTGATGAATGGTCTTCGTACAAGGAAGATGATGTTGGAAAAGCTAAATTTGTAAAAGATACATTATTGGATGATGTTTGGTGGGATAAGGTTGATTATATACTTTCTTTCACTAGTCCAATTTATGATGTTCTAAGAAAAAGGGATACGGAAACTTCATCTCTTCATTTAGTATATGAAATGTGGGACTCAATGATTGAAAATGTGAGAAAGGTCATTTATCGATATGAAAGAAAGGCGGAAAGTGAAGAATCAAGCTTTTATAATGTTGTGCACTTCATATTAATTGAACGTTGGACAAAGAGTAGCACACATCTCCATTGTTTAGCACATTCTTTAAATCCAAGGTAATATTTTATATTCCTAAATAAGATTTTAGTTACATTTTTATAGGTTATTATAATCATGATTTTTATTTATATTGTAGATATTATAGTCATGAATGGCTAAGTGAAAATTCTAATAGAGTTCCTCCACATCAAGATATGGAACTTACTCGTAAAAGGGTGAAATGTTTTACATGATATTTTGTTGAAGTGGATGTGAGGTGACAAGTAAATGTAGAGTTTGCAAATTTTTCCGATGGAAGAGAAGGTTTTGATGACATTGATTCATTAACTGATAGGGGTAAGATGGATGCAAAATCTTGGTGGCTTGTTCATGGTGCTCATGCTCCAATACTTCAAAAAATTGCTCTTAAACTACTTGGGCAACCATGCTCTTCTTCATATTGTGAAAGAAATTGGAGCACTTACTCTTTCATTCATTCTATGAAAAGAAACAAGATGGCACCATATAGGGCGGAAGATCTAGTATTTGTTCATAGCAACCTTCGTCTTCTTTTAAGGAATTCTCCACAATATAACCAAGAGGAAACAAAAATGTGGGACATAGAAGGAGATTCATTTGGATCACTAGATGAGAGTGGAATGCTTGAAGTTGCTAATTTATCACTTGATGAACCGGGGCTAGAGAGTGTATTTTTCAATGATGATGATCATGGAGGTTACTGTCTTTAATAGATTTGATTCATCTTCTTATTTTGGGACTTTCTTTTTGTAAAAAGAAAAAGTTTCTTACGTTGTGAAATAGTGCTTCTTACTATTTTTTGGTTAGGATATCATATCAAAATTGTAAAGTAACAACTTTGTCTTGAGAAGATGAATGAATAAATCTTAATTTTTAATTTATATTTTTCTCATTTGAATCATATTTAAATTTTTATTAATGTCTAATATATATAAGGTGTCTCGGTGTCCTATATTTTAGAACTTCGTCGTGTCCCCATGTTCGTGTCGTGTCACGTCCCAATGTCATGTCGGAGTCGGTGCTTCATAGCTGAATAATCAGCGAAACTAGACAATATTTAGGATAAATTATGTGTTGGTTTCCTGAATTGACTAACAATGCTAGATCGTATCTAATAGAAATGCAAGTTAAAGTTATTCTACCAAAAGTCTTTAGCTGCTTGCAACATGGTGTTTGACATTTGAAGCTATTCATTTGCTTTTTAAGCTATTAAAGTTTTTTTTTTTTCTATTATTGCATGAGACATATTGGATAAAGATTTTCTCCTCTCTCTCCTTTCCTAATAGAGTTGTTTGAGTAAGAGTTATAATTATGGCTCTGTCGATATATAATCAGTCTTCTTCATATTTGACAGGCAGAATTGCAGATGCAAGATGTTAAAAATGTCGTAGTACATAATCTTTCGGTAGGTTTTACTTTTCATATCCTATGATAGTGTATGATGGCATGGATATAGGGATACAAAAACTTGCATGTTTCTCCAATTTAAGTGTTGTTATAGTTATTAATTAATAATAAAGGAAAAAAAACGTGTTTTTTGTCCCTATACTTTTGATCAAAGGTGGTGAAAGGTTCTTGTATTTTCATATTGATTAATTTGATCTTCAATCCTTCAAAAGATATGGATTTAGTCTTTTCTCTCTGAGACTTCATAATGTTTTTTGAAGTTAATGAAGGAACTAAGTCCACATGTTTTTTATAGTTTAAGGACTAAATTTATTTATATATATGCAGGGACCTTGACCACATTTAATCCATAATAGAGATTAAGAACACTTTTCTTTTTTCATATAATAAATTTAACAATTCTTCCAGAAAAAAAATGAATAATTTGACACGTTTTTTCATGGGCAAAGTCATTCCTGTTCCCTTTATATTTAGATACTCATTTATTGAGTTGCATGCTTGAATGTGCTCAAGAACATACATATATTACCTTGTACATTGTGATGGAACTTGGTGGTGAAGGAACTTGTATTGTAGCAAATTTATGTTGGTCTTACAACAAAAATAATAACTCCCTAGCTCATCAACTAGGTTAAATAATGTCGTTAGCCTGAAGTTTCACAGAGAAATCACTTTACCTGTTAGACAAAATTATGGTACTAATGCAGTTTTGTATAATTGCATTTGTAGACTCTCTAGCTTGGACTATGTGCAGTTTGATCTCCCAAGATCTTTTTGTGTGTCAATTAAATCTCTTTATAAAACTAAGCAAAATTAGTGTTAATGTGTCTTTGTTTCACCATAAAGACATGAAACACATTATGAACGACTCCCTGTAAAGTTTTAGTGGTTGTTTTTTCACATTCATGTTTATAGCTGTTGCTGTTTTTCTTTTCTTTTTCAATGTTGCAGCCAGGAATGGTTACAACGGATCTTCTCATGTCTGGTGTTAATACAAAGCAGGTAGATTGCAACCAACTTTTATTATTAGTATTTTTTCTGTGTTTAGAACTGACTGACTTCTTTGTTATGTGCAGGCAAAGTTTTTCATTAATGTCTTGGCAGAACCTGCTGAAGTGGTAAGATTTTCACAGCAGGGAATGATGATAAATAAGCTAGCACTGTGCTGTACGATCGTTATGCTCACCTGATAATCATTAGAAGCTATTTGCTCATTCATGTTTTAAAACTTTCTTGGTTTTTGTGACTAAGATAAGCACCAAACACTTGGAAAAACTAGTACTCTTAAAAGCTAGCCGTTAATATAAGAGAACCAAACACTTGAATATGTTGACAAACAAGTATCTAAATAAAGCACTCTATATATTATCACTTGATGTTTTTGCAATGAGTGATACATGTTCAATTTATAGGCCTTTGGATATGGCCTCTCAACTACATGTATTTAATGCAACTACTACCTTTCAACTACATATATTCAATACAACCACTATCTCTCAACTACATACATTCAATATAACTACTACCTCTCAACTACTACCTCTATAACAACTACCTTTCAACCACATGCATTTAAGGTTTACCTAACAAAATCCCCCCATAAACTTAAATGTTTTTCTTGTCCTTCATTCCAAACATCTTCTTGCTGTTCTCGAACAGAGTGGTTGACAGTGGCTTCGTGAACATATCTGCAGCTTGTGTCCCTTCACTACGAGTCGAGCTTTATATCGCTCAACTTCTCCTTCAACATTTGTCTTTTTCTTGTACACCTATTTTACGCCGATAGGCCGCGCTCCTTTGGGCAAATCAGTCAGCTCCCATGTGTTGTTGCGTTCTATTGCCCCGATCTCCTCGTCCATTGCATTTTTCCACCTTTTCTCCTGCATGGCCTCTTCAAAACTTAAGTCTTCTGAATCTGCCAAGAGACATACAACATGCACTTCGTCAGTGGAGTTGTATATATCTTGTAAATTTTGCGCTCTGGGCTGTAGAGGTTCATCTTCTTCATCAGAAGTCTCGTGATCTCTCACAGTATGTGGTGTATCAACTTCCGAGCTTCTACTTCCTATGGACTCCTTCTCCGAGTTGTTCCAACTCCACTCGCTTTCTTCATCAATTTGAACATCTCGGCTCATGATGACCTTCTTAGTTATTGGGTTAAACAACCTGTACGCCTTGGTTTTTTCATCATACCCAATAAACACGTACTTTTTGCTTCTATCTTCGAACTTGGTCCTCTGTTGAGCTGGAACATGACCATAAGCTATGCTACCGAACACTTTAAGGTGAGACACACTCGGTTTTCTTCCACTCCAGACTTCTTGCGGTGTCTTCTCGTTCAGCTTAGCATGTGGACATCTATTTTGCACATAGATGACACATTGCACTGCTTCTGCCCAGAACTCCTTTGGCACGTTTTTGCTTCTCAACATTGTTCGAACCATGTCAAGAATGGTTCGATTCTTCCTCTCGGCAACTCCGTTTTGTTGGGGTGAGTATGGTGCTGTCAGAAATCTCCTTATCCCTTGCTCCTCGCAATACTTCATGAGTTCGGATGAAATGAACTCGTCTCCTCGATCAGACCTAATAGATTTGATAGGCATGTCAGTCTCTTTCTCAACCATTGCTTTAAATCTTTTGAACACCTCAAACACCTCGGATTTCTCCTTCAAAAAATATACCCAGGTTTTTCTTGAAAAATTATCTATAAGAGAAATGAAATACCTTTTCCCACTGAAGGACTCAGGGGTAACCGATCCACAAAGATCTGTGTGAATCAATCCGAGTTGTTCCTTTGCACGGTACTCGGCCGTCCTCGGAAATGAGGTCCTCGAATGCTTTCCGATCACACACTCTTCACAAAATTTCTTTTCAAATTTCATAGACGGGAGTCCTCGCACCATCTCTTTCTTTACCAACTCGGTCAGCCCGCCAAAATGCAAGTGGCCAAACTGAAAGTGTCACATCATTGCTTCATCCTTCACGTTAAGTTTCAAGCACCTCTCTTGGATTATCTTCAAGTCCAACTTGTACATTCTGTTCTTCTTCATTTCAACTCGGGCAATCAAACGATCCAACTTGTCCTTTAGGTATAGTACTCGGTCTTTCATCAGCACCGAGTAGCCTTTCTCCATCAGCTGGCCCATGCTCAATATGTTGCTTTTAAGATCGGGTATATAGTACACGTCTCTGATTTCTCCAACTCGGTTATTCTTCTGCAGGTACCAGATTGTACCTCTGCCTTTTACTGTCACCTTTGATGCATCTCCAAATGACACGTGTCCGGCCTCAACTTTAGTGAGCTCCTTAAAAAGGTTCTTGTCCCCGCACAAGTGGTTACTTGCTCCTGTATCAAGATACCAAACCGAGTTGTCAGAACAACTCGGACTTAGCTCAACATCCGAACTTCTCGACATCATCAATACTCTTTCTTCCTCAGTGTCCTCAGAGAGGAGGTTTGTCTCCTTCCTCTCAGATTGACAGTCCTTCGCGAAATGTCCAACCTTCCCACAATTATAACATTTGATACCTGAATAGCAGTCCTTAGCAAAATGACAATCCTTCCCACATTTGAAGCACTCAACTCCGGAATTGCTTGACTGACCACCTCGACCTCTACCGTCACGACCTCTACCTTGTCTTCGGCCACGCCAGTTTTGTTGACTGACTGGCTCCTTGCCTCTTTCATATTCTCCTCTGCCTCTACCACCTCGGCCTTGAGTGTTCTGAGCATAAGGAACCTTCTTCTCCTTTAAGGTTGTCTTTGCTTGGAGTGCTTGATCAAGGGACTCCTCTTTCTTCTTCCTTCTCCGCTGCTCATGCGCTTCAAGCGACCCGGCAAGTTCTTCCACCGAGAGCACCGACAAGTCCTTGGACTCTTCTATTGCACAAACGATATTCTCAAAGTCGTCAGTTAACGACCTTAAGATTTTCTCCACCACTCGGCAAGTGGGCAGCGTCTCTCCATTTCTTCTGAGTTGATTCACCACGGTCTCAACACGGGAGATGTACTCGGCAACCCCTTCGACCTCTTTCATCCTCATGCTTTCAAGCTCGCCTCTAAGAGTTTGAAGCCTGACTTGTTTCACGCGATTATCCCCTTTATTTGCCTTCTCCAGAATATCCCACGCTTCTTTTGAAGATTTAGCATTTGCTATCTTCTCAAAGTCGGACTCATCAACAGCTCGGTACAATACGTACAAAGCCGTTTTGTCCTTTACTCGTGTTGCTCTCAATGCAGCAAGTTGAGCAATCGTCTGCTCTTCAATATTCTCTGGTTCTTGGTGCCCATTTTCGACCACATCCCATACTTCTTGGGAACCAAGGAGAGCCTTCATTTGCAGGCTCCAGTTATCATAGTTTACGCCTTTTGATAACTTTGGCAGGGGCATGCTGTTAGCTAAGTTGGTCATCTCGAACAAACTCCCTAGCTCTCAAACACTCTCTCTAACGCACTCAGACACTCAGGCTCTTAAGCTCTGATGCCAATTTGTTGACAAACAAGTATATAAATAAAGCACTTTATATATTATTACTTGATGTTTTTGCAATAAGTGATACATGTTCAATTTATAGACCTTTGGATATGGCCTCTCAACTACATGTATTTAATGCAACTATTAACTTTCAACTACATATATTTAATACAACCACTATCTCTCAACTACATACATTTAATATAACTACTACCTCAACTACTACCTCTATAACAACTACCTTTCAACCACATGCATTTAAGGTTTACCTAACAGAATACTCTATCTAATATTATATTCTACTTGATGTGAGAATTAATCTCATAATAGCCAAGTCTATCATACTAACTTCATGCTTACAAACTCAACTGAGAGAGATGAGAATCTAGGAAATATTGCAAGTAAAATCCTTATGATTACTTTCATAAACCAATTCCGCAAAAGATTAACCTATTAGAAAGACCTGTGAACGTTCTTATATTAAATTTCTAACATGCCCCTCACAATGCATGAGGGCTGGGTTTGAAGCCTAGACAGAGCACAAACCCCATCTACCTTGCGCTAAAATTCAATCTTACTTGAATTAATGGGTAAACAAGGACTAACGCTAGACCACCTGATCATATAGACTCTATTTTAGTTTGTGGAAAATGCTTTCCTCCGAATGATAATTGTATTCAGGATCCAGAGTGGCAGATAAATATGAAGCTATGTGCAAGGAATTGGGAGCTAAATAGAAGGAAAAATATTCTCCCCATAACAGAGCTAGTCACTCTAGATTGCAAACTCTTGAGGGGTCTATAAATTGCCTAAACTGATGGGATATGATTTACAAGATAATTGCATAATCAAATGGAATCATCTAACAATCCTAGTTTACAGCCGGTTGTCCCTGGATTGCTGGAACCATATTTCCGTTATTACATTCAGTACTGAAGCATTTGTTTCTGTAGAAATATAGAGAGAAATATATGTGAATGAGTGAAATGTATACTGGTATATGTTGTACTTTCTACGTTATGTTTTGGATGACTTATGCAGCTCATTTGTCAAACGCTGTGGTGTATGACAGGTTGCAGAATACTTGGTTCCAAACATTAGATCCATCCCTGCAAACGGATCAAAGAAACCAACATACATTCGATTCCTCACCGGTTTGAAAGCCTACTCTCAGATATTTTCAGTTAAGATAAAACCTAATCTATAGTATTCAACTTGCATTGCATGCACTAGTTTCACCCATCCACATTTCAATTTCCATAGCATGATCTAGCATTTCAATCTTATTTATGTCTTAATGCTTCCTGTTCCGTAACTTTACAGAGATTGGCATTCGGGGCAAGAAGGAACCGATACATTCTTGAGGATTGAACTTCATAAAACATTGTGCCATGTGGAATTTTTATTTCTTTTCTAGATGTCTATTAACCCCTCCCACCCCTCCATTTATTTTGAAATTTTGTTATGCCATTCTTTTCTATCATTCGTCTCAGTAAAACTTAAATTTACATGTTTAAGGGTAGATATAGGTGATAAACTAACTTGCTTGGATCTACCTTTAGGCAATGAGTAAGTATTAAATGAATCATTAAAGTATCTAGTATTTTACAACATAGAATAAGAACCTTTTATTTATTTGTTTCTTAATCTGAAACTCATTAGTAAAATTATTAATTTCTATGTGGAAAAACAAAATATTGTTGACTTACAAACTTCTGCACTCTTACGTGCATATTAGCATTTTAATTCCTGTAAATATCTGGTGCAGATATTTTTAGGAATCCTTATTTAATCATATAAATTAAAACATTTCTTATATTTTTTAGTGAATTTTACTAGTATATTTAATTTATTTAAATTTGAGAAGAAACATATTGACACCCCCATAACGCTTTTTAATTATTTGAAAAATTTTATATATACCCTTATAAGAATAGTTGTAAATCTTAAAAAGTTATGTAATATGCAATAAAGAAAGGTAGAGGTGTTATTATAATTTGCTATTTTTCTTTTCTTTTATCTATGACCAATATAAATATTAAGCACATCACTGTGCTTCACAAGAACTTAAGAGAGCCTTGGAAGGAATCTCAGTAGGATGGAGTAATGATTTATGAATGAGAGGCCTGGCACTACGTAGTTTTTCTCCTATATATGTTAGGATTCATATTCATTGATCTAGAATACTACTACTGTATAACTGTATATATGATGTACGCACTGTACATTAATATAAAAATGAGCATTTGATTATATCTGTCCAATGTCTGAAAGCATGTATGAACTTGACGATAGAGTTTATTTATAATCATCAAATATCCATTGTGATTTTAAATTTTTAGTGTATTTTTAGTGTTCATAATTATAAATCAAATTAAAATATTACCAACAAATATTTCTGATTTTCGAAATTTTTGTGTGATTGAAAACTAGTTATAAATATTTTTCCTTATTGTAGTATTTATATAATATTTAGTGATAATGCAATTGGTTGTGCATCGTTTAAGCTTTTGTGGTGGACTGGGTTTAGGGAACCTAGTATTAAGTTGTTACTTTTTTCATCTTTTGAAACTGAATTTAATAACAATTTTGAATGGCTAAATTGGTTATAGTCTCTGCTGGTTATCATTTTTAGTGACTATTTAGCAACGAAAACTGAAATAATTGTAAATTTCATAATTAAAATACATAAATAAATAGTTATGATGGTTAAATATTTTATAAGACGAAAAAAATATATTTATAATTATTAAATATTTATTATTTTAATGTAATTTTATGTGGTTAGTATTTTAAAGAATAGACCAATCTAATTCCAACCTATATGAACGACATACTAAATGAAACTTACCTGATTTAATTTATATTTTTTTATTCTAACGTAACACTTATTACATATTTTTTTGTATGGAATCACAATACTTATTTTTATAAGTTTATTGCATGATATTGTGAGTGTTATGGGTTTGGTTGATTTTGTGCATCTATCACGAGAACATGAAGGAAAAGCAGACCCGTGAAGTATGGTCCCACGGGTACATGTCTCTTTCACTCCTCTCTCTCTGCCCTAAAAGCTTTGTCTTTTCATTCTACAAATGTGTCACGAGCCCAACATTATATATTCTCTGTCTGTTACTTCCTTTTCTCAGACTGACACATGGATGCACCAATTTTCCATTCATAATGATAATAACGGATGCAAAATCATAACTTGATAAATATTTTTCAAATTTATGACTTATTCTCGTGACTCCATGGTCATCTGCTACTTTCGTATCCCATGCTTCAAAATCTTAATTATCAAACATTTACTACACTTTAATCCTTGTTAATATTTGAGAGAGTGGTGATAGATATTTAAGAAATATGTTATTGCACCATCCTATTTATTAATACAATGTGGTGATACTTTTAATTAATATTAAGAATATGTTAACCAGGTTGTTTTTATGGTCCCAAATTAAGTGGCCATTGCAGGTGTAAAACAAAAGCTATGAACTTTGATCTAATTAAAATGGCAATGTGGCAGTGTTTACAATTTCCTATGTAAAACGACAAACTACTTTTACAATTTCGTGTGCCCTTTTAAGGGCTATGTTATGATATTTTATCACCACACAATTATTTATTCATGTGCCTCGGGAATGCAGAACCCTTATATGTTATGATTCCACATTTTTCACTTATGGTATCTATTGTTTTCCCATACCAATTATTAGGATCATTGTTGATGGAGTTTGGCACAATTATTTTTAACAGAAAAGAAAATAGATAGAAAGCAAAACCGCTTGTTGTTTTACAAATTTTTGCTTACAGTCTTATACTCGAACAATTTTTTTTGTTTTAATTCATAGGTATCAAGAAAATGGTGAAACCTATAACATCAAATGACTGAGATAGTTCGTGTTAAAAAAATTTCAGAAAAGTTACAAAGAAAGTAAATATAATTATACATTTGTATAATAATCAAAATATTGTTATTATTAGTATTACTTTGTTATAGATTTATCAGAAATGCTAATAATTTATTTATTAACATATTTTTAATATTAATTAAAATTTATAAAGCAAAAAGTCACAAAATTATACTGCTCTTAATAAGTAAACTCTACTTATCATTTTATAAATTTTAATCAATAATATATGTATTTCAATGACAATAATGTTAGCAGACACACTTAATTTTCACTAAAAAAATAAAATTAATCTGAAGAGGGACCATTATGTTATGTAGCTTAGAGGAGACAAGAGAGTTGCACTTAAAATTTCAGGAATATACAGAACAAAAAAGGTTCACATTTTTATAGAATATAAAATTAACCTTAGCCATTAGGTAACTAGCGTGTTGTCATACTATTATGTGCAGCCAAACCAACACAAAAGCATAAGCATGTAACATTACATTGCAAAAATGGTTAGCGGTTGAACCAAGAGTGGTCCACAGTAATATGTTTCATGTTTTGGAGTGTGGTGCTTGTTGTGTGTCAATACTTAATGCATGCCGTGGAAGATCAGAAAGAACTAGAGTAAAAGATAGTTGGTTCATTTTTATTGAATGAATGGCAGAGGCAGAAGCTTGGTCCTAGAAGCCTAATCCAAAACTCCTTTGTGTCTTTATTTATCCAAGTTATCTCTCTATCCTTTGGAAGAGGAGATGGCACCAAAACCAGTTTCCCTTTCACATTTACTCCTTTTAATCTTGTTTCTTGCCACCATTCAACTTTCAGAGCAGTTAGAGTTTCCTCAGTCTCAAACACTTCTCAAGGTTCAGCAACTTCTTGGCTATCCATCAACATTAAGTACCCTCAGCAGCACCTCAGAGTTTTGCAATATTGAACCTACCCCATATTTGACACTAGTTTGCTATGAGAATAGCTTGACACAGTTGCATGTCGTTGGCAACAATGAGTATACTCCACTGCCTCCAGACTTCTCCTCAGATACTCTGTTCACTACACTAGGCACTCTATCAAGCTTGAAAGTCCTCTCCCTGGTTTCTCTTGGACTCTGGGGGGCCTTACCTGAAAGCATTTCTCAAATGTCTTCATTGGAAATACTTAACATTAGCTCAAATCACTTCAATGGAGCCATTCCATCTCAACTTTCACTTCTGAGGAACCTGCAGTCAGTGGTGCTTGATGATAACAACTTCAGTGGTGAAATTCCTAACTGGGTAGGCTCACTTCAAGGTTTGGCTGTGCTTAGTATGAAGAAAAACTGGCTTAGTGGGAGCCTTCCAACTTCATTGGACGCTCTTCATACCTTGAGGGTATTGGATCTATCATGCAATCAGTTATCTGGGGAACTTCCTCCTCTTAAGAACTTGGCAAACCTTCAAGTTCTGAACTTGGAAAACAACACATTTGGACCTCATTTTCCTTCTCTCCCCACCAAGTTAGTTTCTGTTGTGCTCAGAAATAACAGCTTCAGGCTAAGTGTCCCTTCTGGTTTGAGTTCTTTCTATCTCCTCCAAAGGCTGGACCTGTCATTGAATGGTTTTGTTGGGCCATTTCCACCATACTTGTTGTCACTGCCTTCCATAAATTACCTTGATATTTCGTCAAATAGATTCACTGGAATGCTTTTCAATAACATGTCATGCAATGATGATCTCCACTTCGTAAATCTGTCTTCAAATCTTCTGAAAGGGGAAATTCCCTCTTGTTTGGAACCAGAGACAAGGGTTGTTCTGTATGCTAGAAACTGCTTATCAAATAAAAACCAAGATCAGCACCCTTCAGGTTTCTGCAGCAATGAGGCTTTGGCAGTGAAAATCATACCCCATCAACCGAAGCACAAGAGAACAACTGGTAAAGCAGTTATTGTATCAAGTATGGGAGGTGTTGTTGGTGTAGTGTTGATTGTAGGGGTGGTTATCTTGGTTGTTAGCCGAGTTCATAAGAAACAAGTAGTGAAAATACCTTCAAAGTACCCTTTGCAAAATGTTACAAGTCAGATACATAATGAAGATGAAGTGAAAATTACTACTACAAGATCCATAATGGAGCATATCATGAAAAGGGTTCCTGACAAACGTGCTGTGGAAACACTAACAAGATCTATAAAGGAGCATGTAATGAGCCGAGTAAATAATAAGCGTGTTGTGAGAGCATCGACAAGGTCCATAATAGAACATGTATCATCAGTTAACACAGCAAAACTACTCACGGATGCAAGTAAATCCTCAAATCCTTTGCCTTGTCTGTACATAAGTTATAATGAGATTACTTATGTTTAAGTTTATGGTTTAAAGGCTAAAACGAAATTCTGGGAATATGTTTTTTTTCTGTAATGTAAGTCAAAAACATTGAATTAGAGTAAGAAAAATTTCTGGTTTTATTTCTTCTGTAGATTAGATCAATTAAAATAAATGCACATCTTTTGTGCTGAAGAGCAGAATGTAGAAATCAAGGAATTAGAGCATGTCATACAGAACCTTTATTTCTTATAACTATTACATGTCACATATAGTCAGTTTATATTATTTGTTTGCAGGGTATATATCAGAAACAATGAAGATGGGAGCCAGCCTTCCTGCTTATAGGACCTTTGCTTTGGATGAACTGAAGGAAGCTACAAATAATTTTGATGCATCATGTTTCATAAGTGAAGGTCCACATGGTCAGGTATGAACCAGAAGTTGTTAATTTAGACTGATAGAATCATATTTACCCGCCAAATGTATGATGCCCTACCCTATAGGACTGTAATTTTGTGATGACTTCCACTTCACTTTAGAAAATATATTGAGCTTCATATGAATAACAATATTTGAGAAAAATTAAAGTTCATGGCTATGCATAGTTATAGTCTATAGATGAGGTACATTTGAATCTCTGGCATCCTTCAAAATTGTATTTATTGACTAGCTAACCATCTATCCCTAGAACAGGATAAGTTAAAGTGAAAAAACTTGAGTTCTGATATAGGCATCAAGCATCAATCCACACATATTGTAGAGTTTTCATACTCAAATTTGCTTATTAAGTAACAGTTTCCTTTTGTTGAAAAGGTTTGTATTCATTCTGACAAGTAATTAATCCTTCTTTCTGATTATTCATATAATTCTTTGTGTAACTGTTCTCTATTATCTACGTGACTTGCAAATTTTTATTTATTTTAACTATAATGACAGATTTATAAAGGAGTTCTCTCAGATGGGATGCACATTGCTATTAGAGGTTTGAAAATGAGGAAGAGACATGGCTCTCAAACTTACATGCACCATGTTGAGATGATTTCGAAACTAAGGCATTCACACTTGGTTAGTGCTCTTGGGCATGCTTTTGAGTGCAACCAAGATGATTCAAGTGTGAACAATGTATTTCTAATATTTGAGTTTGTTCCAAATAGAAGCTTAAGAAGCTGCGTTTCCGGTAAGGAAAATTCCCCATCAAAATCTTCCTTGTTCTCACATACCATAAATTTCAATGACCTTGTACATTATCGTCCTCTAGGACTTGTTTAGTTTAAGATATTGTTTTCATTTTCTAATTTTACAAATAATTACAAAATATGAGTTTTTTTTTTAATTTATTTCTCATCTTCAAATGTTTGTTTGAAAACAAATCTTTTAAAACCTCTTCTCAAACCAAACAGGACCTAAGATTTTCTCATGTTCATAATATGCAAAGAAATGAATTTTTCCTCTGACATTTGCTTTCAATAGGATCTTCTGGGGAAAAGATTTCTTGGACTCAGAGAATTGCAGCTACAATTGGAGTGGTGAAAGGCATTCAATTTTTGCACACAGGGATAGTGCCTGGACTATATTCAAATAATCTCAAGATAACAGATATTCTCTTGGATAGCAATCACAATGTTAAAATAAGCAGTTACAATCTGCCACTCTCTGCTGAAAATAAAAGAACGGTAAATCGATTTTTTGTTTTTTGTTTTTGTTAACATGCCCTTAATACTGATTTTTCTCAGCAGCATAACTGTTTTCTTTAAACTTTCAGATCAGCAGTGGAACTTCCCCTGGACTCAAAGGAAATGTCCAAGCAAGGTGAACAACAAATTTATTAATCACTGATATTGTAATAGAATCTAATCTAGCCACTAAGAATGTAGGCACACATACAATCAACGCATTCTTTTCCCTATGCTCTTCGTTACAAGATTAGTGCTTGTAAAACTTGCTCAATGATGTGAGTCCCACTTCCTAATAGGTTGGTTCCATTCCCTATTCCATGGTTTCCACTTGAATTCAGTATGTAAAGTGTGTGTTGAGGTGTAACTTTTAAGGGTTATAGTTGAAAAATTGAACACAGTAGAATTGAATGTTTTGAATTATAAAGGGTACACACACAGTTACTGGATTTTCTCGTGAAATGCATTTTAGCATGTATGCTTTCTGTTGCAAGTTGAAATAAATATACTAATAGTTGTAAAGATAGTTAAATAGGTAAGAATTTTCCTAATTCTTCCTAAATCCTTGATGCATATGCATATACCCTTGGATAAATCTTTAACCGGATCCATATATATATATATATATATATATATATATATATATATATATATATATATATATATATATATATATATATATATATATCTGTTTGGGATCTCTGACGAGCAAAAATGTTAGTGAAACACAAATTTTTACTCTGGTTCTTAACTGAGGTGATGACATTGATTATTTATGCAGGTTAAAAGATGAAGACAAGAATGATGTCTATGATATTGGGGTAATCTTGCTAGAAATAATTCTGGGCCGACCAATAATATTTCACAATGAAGTTGGAACACTAAAAGATCTTGTGAGTACTACCTTCAAGTTTCATACTTAAGCATCTTAGATTAGATTATGAGTAAGTTTCCCAATAATGAATTAGGGTACATTTGATTTGCTAAAAGAAATAATGGACGGCACAAAAATAGCTCAAGAGACAGAACAAAATCCCTTTGCCATCATCCCAGCTCTGTTTTGCACAAAACAATCCACAACAAAAGGGTATTACAAGAAAAATTATGTAGTTTGGGACCACCATGTCTCCATAGTCTTATCCATTTAACATTTTTTAAATAAAAGGATACAAAAACATGATCCAATTAGGTTGGCAACCAAAATTATATCAATCAAAAGAAGTGGGATCAAACAAAACCCTTTTCTTTAACATAACATGCAATCAAGTTTCTTAATTTAATAGAGTAAATTAATAACAAATTATTACATGCCCTGTTAAGATTAGTGGGATCCCAAACTTCATAACTCATGGACGTTAAAATTTTTGAAAGTTTTCTCATCTGACTTCATTAAAAGTAAAGGTTCATGAAGTTGATTTTTTTCTTCTTCAGTAAGTAGCCACTGAGCATCAAAACTTTGCTGTGTAAAGCACAATAGGTAAGTAACCATGTTGCTGTGTGGTCTATCTGCAGTTACATGTAAGCATCAAAACTGATGACATAGCTAGAAGGAGCATTGTTGACCCAGCAGTTCACAAGGAGTGTTCAGATGAATCATTAATGACAATGATGGAGATATGTGTAAGGTGTCTCTCTGGTGACCTAAGTGAGAGGCCTTCTGTAGAAGATATTCTCTGGAACTTGCAGTTTGCAGCACAAGTTCAGAACTCATGGAGAAGAGACTCAAGTGATCACAGTTACTCTCCTGCACCATCTTCCATGGACACATGATTAAGATCTGTATGATATTTCCAGCAAGCAACTAATAGGGTGTGTTACCATGTACAAAAAGTTCTATTTTATAGCATGATTGTCACAATTTTATATTCCTTTTTCATTATCAGAATACAACAATTATGTGTGCCTAAAATTTTGTTTTCATTGTTTATTTATCTATAGTCCAATTCTCTAAATTCATAAAGTTAGATTTCAATTCTCTCAGCACAAATCTATAATTTTAAATACATGAACAAAAACTATACATGAATATTTATTTTAAATGTGCGTTACAATAATTTGATGTTAATAAAATTATATATTTTAATGTGTCTTATCTTATAATTTTTTTTTCTAAATTAAAATGTTAAAAAACGATATTTAAATGTGTGTTCTTTTCAATATTTTTTTCTAAATTAAAATGTTAATATAACCTTATGTTACGACTTACAGTATATATTTTCGGTAGATAGGAGTATTCAAGAATAAATTGAAATATTTCATATAACTGTGATTAACTATAACTTAAAAAAATCACTATATTATAATATAAAATTTTAAAAATTATCTTAAACGGAAATAGAAAATAAATTTGAATTCAATTATACTAATATTAGTGTAAATTAGCATATATTAATTTATAAAATTATTATATGTTAGACAAATAGTATCTAAAGGGTTGAATTGATGCACAAATTAAAAATTTATTTAAGATGTTCAACAATTTGTTAATTCAATTTTAATTATCAGATTAAATATAGATAAAGTGGAAGCGATAATATAATAAAAAATATATAGGGAAAGAGAAAAACACACAGTAATTTATACTGGTTCGGGTCAAATCAATCCTACATCCAGTTTCCTGTCACCTCTAATACGAGAGAGACAATCAAATTCACTATCTTTAAAATTCAGTTTACAAATTACAATCAACTTTGCAGAAGAACCAGTAAATAGTAAACTAATTAAAAAGATTAACACCTCTCTAGAATAAAGGATGAAACAGAAAAACACATCTCAAGAATCTCACTTGAGATGAACACATCGGATGAACAACTCCTATGAACAAATCAAATAATAAAAACACACATCTCAAGAATCTTACTTGAGATGAACACATCATCTCAACAAATCAAAGGATGATCAGTTCCCCACAAAGGAAACTCTAAATAACAAGAATTTCAACAAGAACAGTCACACCTTATAATGGAGATAACAAATTATAGAAGTCTGTAGAATGATAACTTCAAGCATAAGTGTAATTAACAATGAAAGCACAAAAAACAATAGGAAAGAAAAGGGTTCTATCGGAAAATGCAAAATATCTCTGTTGCCTTACTTAGAAGATTTTCTCAAAATTGTGTATTCAAAATTCTATAATCAAGTTCTGTATTTTGATTTTTCATCAAAACTCATTTAAATAGGAAAATAACATTGAATATGTTATAATAAAAATAAAAAATAATCGTTGCTCAATAATAAATTTGTAGAGAAAAAATCAGGATGCTTTTCAACAACTATTATCTTTTAAAAACTGATATATTTTTTAAATCTGAAGTGCCAAAATCGATTATGTGACTTGCATAATCGATTATGACAAAGATAAAATCAATTTTTCATTTCGATACATCATAATTGATTATGACACTTATATAATCGATTATGACACTTATATAATCGATATGAGAGAGAATTTTCGAAAACAATTATTTCATTTGTCGACATAATCGATTATGAGCCTCTCATAATCGATTATGACAGAGAAAAATGTCATAATACTGAAATTGCTTCACACTTGTGTTTTGGAAACTTATGCATAATACTTCATCATCAACTTGTACCTCCATATTTAGTGTTCTAAGACATTATCTAGCCTTCGAGTTTGCTTGAGTCTTGAGTAATATTGACTTAAATCTTCATCAAAATCATTTTTTTCAAAATATAGGGAAATGTTTCACATTGTCATTAATCTCCATTTCATTATATTTTATGGAAATGAAAAATAATTTTACAAATTATGGCATTATAATATAAAATATGAAAATTGACTAAATATGCTAAAAAATAAAAAAAATAATTAAATTATATGATTATAACCACAAGAAATTATTGTATTTAAACATATTTTATATAGCTAAAGATATATTTAAAAATTATTGTACAATTGTCTAGAATATTAGGGTTCACACCCACAAACATATATAGAAATAAATTTAAATTAAATTATATTTTGTAAATTTATATTTATTTGAAATAATTACTGCATATAAGTATATGTATGAAAAAAAAATTTAGAAAATTATAATATTTTAACTTTGCGAAAAAAGACAAATTACTAAAATAAAAAATTAAAATTTTAAGATGTAAACTAACATTCAACCTTCCTTCTATTTCTATTAAAAGAAATTTTTAAAATATATTAATAAATTTTATGAATAATTAAAAAAAATTACATCATAATTATAAATAATTAAAAAAAATCTGAATATATCAGTCAACCACATCAAACCAAATTATTTGATTGTTAATATTTATATTTATATATATTAATTAAATCAATTTCATGATAATATATATATAAAAAATGATTTAAATAAATTTAGATAAGTTTATTTACCGTTTATTTTTCATACATAAAATTTAATAATAGATATATAATATAATTTTTTTCTCTCTTCATTTATTTATTATTATTCTTTTTTTCCTTATTTTGTGTTTGTTTTTTTTATCTTTTATTCTTCTCTCATTCCATCTTAATTTTCTAATTAAAAATATTATATTAAAATTTGATAAAATATGCCTTTTTCTTATTTCTAAAAAATAAAAATATTTAAATTATTAAAAAATATTATAATTTAATATATTATATTTTAAAAATATTATATATAAATTTAGTGCATTACAACTATTATTTATGTTAATATCATGATGAAAAAAAAAACGTAATTATTTTAAAGTATTTTTTAATAAATATTATTTTTTATAATTATCTAATTTGACTAATTATCGTTACCAAATAAAAAATACATTTAACTCATAAATATTTAATAATTTTTTAATTTTAATAAATACTTTATTTATTACGATAAAATAAATTTAAATTAATTATTTACGTTATTATATGTAAAATTATTTATTATTATAATAAATAAAATTATTCACTATTATCATACTTTTAAATAATTAGTCAACCATCTTTTAGTTTTAATTAAATAGTTAACCTTTTTCTAGTTTTAATTTTCACTTTAAAAAATTGACTTTAACGTATTTTTATTATATTTTAATATAATAATTTTAATTAAAAAGGATAAGTGGGAGGAGAGAGAAAAATAAAAGATGCGGTATAAAAGAGAAATTCTAAGAAGTAAATGAGAAAGAGGAAAAAATAAAAAAAATAATAAAAAAGGAGAAGAAAATCTACATATAAATAGTAAATATGTTTATTTAGGTAAATAAATTGATAGAGATTTTAATTAGAATATATGTATATATAAATGATAAATATTGTATAAGTCATAGCATTAATATATATTAAATTATTTACATATATGGTGTGAAGGAATTACACTTTTCTATCTCTCTCTGTGTATATATATATGAAGGTATTTAGAATTTTATTCACAGCTTCATATCAATCTTAGAGTATTGCATTGGAGTAAGAAGGAGATATATTGTTCTGAAACTGAATTACAATGAAGGCTATTTTTTCAGTGCTGCTCATTCTGCTTCTTTCCATTGGGATTGGTATGTTTTTGCTTTTCATTGACTCATTCTACTCACTAACTTAAAGTTCACCACCAATTTTTTCAAGTTTTTGAATTTGAGATCTCACAGTTTAGGGTTTGATATTGTGTTTTTGCAGGAAACGAAGGATCAGTGAAAATGGTGGAGGCAAAAATCTGTGACGTAAAATTGTATGATTACTGCGATGAGAACTGTTACAGTGATTGTCCGAAGATGTATGGAGAGAAAGCAATTGGTATATGCACTTTTAATCCAAATGAATGCATATGTAGAAGACAATGCTAATATAATGTAAGGGTGCCATGGATTCAAATTAAATAAAATTACTTATTTTTTCGTTTATCTCTTTCTCTGTCTTCTCTTAATTTCTGTTATTCTTTTGTTCACAACAAACTTTTTGTTCTTCCACTTTATTTTCATTACGGGATTGTGATTTTGATGTTTGAAACTATAATTGTGTATTAAATGTTTGAATTCTTTTCAGTCTTGTATTTATTCTAATAATCTACATAATTAATATTTCTATTCCTTTATTTTAATGATTATTAAATATAAAATTAATGGTTCAGAAAATTTTAGAAAATTCATTTAATTATGGTGAACATTTATATTGTTTTATTTTAAAGATCATTAATTTAAATTAGGATATTTTTCAACCTAATATTATAGCTTATTACGTTTTCCAAATATTTTATTGGACTAAAAATAATGTTTACTTAAGTATGTTATTTTAAAATATGTTAATTAACTCTTGATTTGTTTGATTAAATGTGAAAATTTTTGCACGTATGATGGGTGATATATAATTTAGATTTTTATTTTGTGTATTATTAAACGTTCTATGTTATTATGTAAAAATAATAACTAATAAAGTATTTAATCTAATTATTAATTATATTTCATTAATATAACTACGAGATATTTGACAGTTTTAAAAGGTATGATTGTAATATATATTAATAAGGTATATCCATTTCTATTACAGTTAAAAACAATAAAAATTAATTAGAAATTCCAAATTTCATATTCAAAATAATTTTAATTCGACATTATTATATTTTGTGATTAATTTACAAAGCGAAAAATATCTTCACATCTTCTTTTTCACAAGCAACTCTCTACCTACTCCATTTAATAATATAATATTATTTTAATTTAATTGAATCTTTTTACGATTATAATAAAATATGAAATTTCCTTTCGATAAAAAATTCATTAATCTCAATGAAAATATGAAATTTTCTTTAAAACATTATCTTTCATTATATGTA